CCCCCCTTCAAGTCGCTCGCTTCTTGCCAGGCCGCGTGAGTGAGTGTGTGAGAGAGACTGTATAAGATTAATAGTGTAAACAGCGAGAGAGAGTGAGAGAGAGAGAGGGAGAGAGAGAGGGAGAGAGAGGGAGAAAAGACTATCAGCATCTGCAGCAGCACAGTAGCCTCCGGGGAATAGCGTGAACTTTTGAACCCTGATAGCAAGCAGTCGCAGCGATGCACAGAGCCCGCTCCTGCCTCGTAATGTGAGTGTATGTCTCAGGATAGAAAAGCATGCAGGCAGCAAGCATCGGAGGGAGGAGAGAAAAGTGGAGGGGAACGAGGAAGAGTAGAGGTCATTAGCATATTCCTCCCTTCCTTGCAAACGAGCGTCAACCGCTATCCAAATGTCACGAAATCCATACGCCGATGAAAACAAGAGAAAAATGATTCTCCGGGAAGATATTCTGACAGATGGATACAGTAGATGGCTATCTTCAAGTCCAAAGAAACTTCCTGAGTGATGGGCTTTCTTTGACAGCAAGGCTAATCATTCAAGAAACTCAGGGCTGATGCCAGACAGGTCACAAGATGGTAAGGCGAAGGGCTAAAGGGCTAAAGTTCATCCACTGGTCATACTGCGGCCACTGGCGGACCCCATACTAACCTAATGTAGCTCCAATCTTATTAGGAAAGTAATGGATTGTTGAAGAAAGTGATATATTTAATTGAAGATAATTGTGCCCAGATCTGTGATGGTGGGATTTCCGAAGTTGTATGGATTCAAAAAGTAATAAATTACCTTTTTTCATATAAACAGCAAGGCTAAACAGAAAATGAACTTGTTCTTAATACAGCTATATTCAATTGAATAACTAGGAGCTATTATGTCTATGTTTCCTCATATTCAAAGATATGAATTGTGTTTTATGTAGCTATGAATAAACTTAATGATCAGAGTGAATGGCAAGCAATGAATAGAGAAATGTTGTTAAAATGTAAATGATATTCAAAGAAAATAGTAACTTACAGATTTGCTTACTAACTACAAAATGCATCTCCTAAAAATACATAATTTATCAAACTAGGCTCATGAAGAGTCCCCTTGGGGTGTAAAAGAAAGATGGAGATTAAGAAAAGTCATAAAACGTTCTGCATTGAATCTCATCCTAACTCCGTCACCACAGCAGCATCCTGATAAACATCGCAGGGCTCCCAGCGGTGCGTTCCAATCAAAGAAAAACAAACAGCCCATTTTGACTTCGTAAACTTGACCTGCAAACAGCATGAAGGGGCTAAAAGTACATCTCCAGCTGTCTCCAGAGGTTGGTTTGTGTTACTGCATACGTGTAATTATGTGTGTAATAGGATTATAGACAGCAGAAAGGTAATTGTGTCAATATTACACTCCATGAACGTAAAGTGTGGTAAATCTACGAGGTAATGTAAACAGGATTACGTCTGCCAGCCCTGAGCTGCACATCCAGGCCAGAAGTGAGGAAAGGAGACAGGGCTGAGGCGCGGTCAGGTCACCAGAGCGGTCGGAGGGTGAAACTCAGTTCACATTACCATGCAGACACCCAGGCTAACAATGGAGGCTCCATCTGTTCGCGTCAGCCATTACAAATCTGGTGTCACCCAGTGCGCAGAAGACAACAGGCCACCGCATCTAATCAAGCGGCTCTGGCTCCTCCCGTGTAAAAGCAGCCATCGACTCCACACTCACTCACTCTCTGGTTAGGAACAGAGCGCAGTGGAGGCAGCCAGTCGATTACCATGGATAATACATTCAGAGTCACAAAGTCTCTATTGTACTGTACACTTAAATAAAATGATACAATTAGACTGCCAAAGAATATATATCCAACCTTTTCCAGCAGCCAAGTGCACTGGTGTAAATCACAAAAAGATCGTTATTTTTCACAACAAGGCTCATTTCTACAACAAGCGAGAAGAAAACAGAATAAATCCAGAGCACCATTGATAACTGCTCATTGGCAAAAGACTTGATTTCATTAAGTTCTGTGTCCATTATTCTGACCAAACACTCCCAGCTGAACGTGTGAAGCAATTCTTTCATCTGGCAGTGAACAGAAAATGAACTCTGAACTCCACATGCCCTTTAGTGAGGACAAAATTCCCCCACAATAAAGACCCTGCCTGAAAAGTGCTACGTGTACATCACAACACTGGAGTTAAAGCATTTAACAAAAATAAACCAGGAATTCAAAAATGATTGGACTCTGCTCTATTTTTTGAGTGTTTTTATAATTAATCGTAATGACTTTTCAATGACAATTTCATAAACTCTAACCTAATGTTGCATTTTAGAGCTTACACAAACTTATGTCACATTGATAAGATGCCGGAGCCTTGCACTGGCGACAGGTTTATTGCGTGTAAATATTAGTAAATATAATATTAGTTTTTTATTATCATAATTATTGGTTTTTATTGCACCATACTACCAAAGTATATTCCTAGTTTGTGATTTTTTGGTCACCTACAATGGCAACAAAAACATTGAATCTGAATTTAGAATAGAGATTATGGAAAATTTTGAGGCATTTTTTGTGTGTCAATTTTGAGAAAAAATATATATAAAAATCATAATACAAAAAAACTTCTGTATTGTGAATAATATGTTTTTCTTTACAAATACAAATATTCTCATTTATCAATTAGCCAAAAACTGCAATTAAAAATGTGATGCTGCTGAAAAGAAGATTCTGATGTTGGTTCATAGTCTGCTTTTTCTCACCGTAAACACCATTTATGGCATTGTGTGATACCTCAGCGCCCAAAAGCACAGCATAGTCTTTGGTAACAGAAGGTCCTGGGGTGTTTTGTCACTCCAGGATAAAGTCAAATTTGTAAACATTTTAAAGAGTAATTTTGCTTGCTCCCCAATGGAATCCTGCCTTGTTTATTGTAATATGAACTAATTCAAAAAAACAAATAACAGTTGTCTAGTGGTCTATCTTTCCACCATCTGCTGTGATTTGTTCTGTCGCTTTTACCACAGCTGAAAAGTGGCTGTCGCTACTCTTCAGTGGGCAAAAGACCGCACATGTCCATTAAGCCATTTTCAAATAAAAGGATAATTTTTGACAACATCCAGATGGCATTAACGACAGGCTTCACATTATGACCGCAAATTGTGCCAATGTATTCAATGTTGGTACGGACACTTCACACAGTCTTTCTTCTTGTTTGCATTAGAGCTGCATGATTCCGGAAAAATATCTAACTGTGATATTTTGGACCAATGTCGCAATGTGTTTTTCAGAATCCTGTTTAAAAATTGAGTTTATATTAAAAAAATATGTTTGAAAATGCGTATATATACAAAGTGAGTATTTCATCACACAATGCCCACCCATTTGAGAGTTCAGAGCTATATAACTATTATTTTGGCTCATGAAAGATCCACTACAAAAACATGATATATATTTAAATGCTTGAATTAAGTTATATTTTTACTCACTACATTTGTAAATACATTCTAATAGTTTATAGTAAATTATGAAAAATATGCCTCATTTGGAAATTAGACAATAACACTTTAGTCCAATAACAAGACAAAACATATCTGCTTGTGTCTATAAAAAATCTTCAAAACATACTCAAATCAAGACACCTTTTCCCAAAATCAAGTGCTTTTTTTGCTTATCTTTACTCCCTTTTTTGTTTGCAAAGAACTGAAATGATTACAGTGTTTGCGATTTATGAATTGCAACCATGAAAATTGCCTTTTCAAGTCGCTTGCGATTAATCATGCATGATAAGAGTCCAGTGATAAGAGACAGACATTGGCATCTTCGGGCACCTAAGTTGATAATGCCCACCTGCGGCATGTCATGTTATGGGCTATTACGCGGCGCACAGTGTCCGAGATACAAAAAAGGCTAAACGGGAGGGAGGGCAAGTGCGCAAAGGGAAGATAGAGATTGATATCGGGAGAGAGGGATGTAACGCACATGGCCCCTCAGGTACAGTGTTGTATTTCAAACCCGGTTGTGAAAGAATAGGGGGCTCAGGGTCAATTTATCACTGCATTAGCCCGCAGCAACAAAGCTTCCTTACTGTGTGGGCTGCCTTCTTGCCTCCCACAATCTCCCAGAGAAAAAGAAGAGAAGAGATCAGGAAGTAAATGGGCCACTGGAGGGCGCTCTAGGTCACCATTCTAAGCTTTGTAAATTCCCAATATGTGTAGCAGCACCAGAGAAGCATTTCAAGCAACAGGGAGGAGCCATGATTTTGATGAGGAAGTAGAAAGTAAATGATGAAAAGTTGTAGCAGATGACAATGGTATGTTTTGATGGATTACAAAAATACTAATTATATATTTCTGCTATGTGCGTCATAATCCAATATCCTGTTTAGTTGTGTGAAGTGTATGAGCTGAATGCATTATACATCATCTTCCAAATACATCTTAAAATATGTAGTAACGTCATATAACTTTTTGAAATTGGATGGAAACTTAAGTCCTGGGACCTTCCTGGAAGTCACTATACATAGAAAGACAATGCTCTTGTGTGACATTGATTGACAGACATTCTATTAGCTACATCCCCTCTCTTTTGTCCATTTACTTACTGTATATTAGCCCGGTTAAGCAGGCTATAAATTACTACATTAACCGTAATATTCTAGAGGAAAGAAGAGGAATTGAGAAATAAGTAGGGAGTGGTCTATCAATCTGCATAAATTCAGTCTATGGATTTGGTTTTTAAATAATACTACTATATTTAAATTGTTATAGTATAGTTGTTGAGATTTAATTGAAAGATCAGAGGCACAGAGATTACCAACATACAACTGCTTTCATTTTTAAAACTGATGTCGCATTGAAATTCCCATCAGTGCTGCTTTGCCACTCTTGCACGCTCGAACAAAATTAGCCGTTTTCAACTGCAATCTCTGCATTGCGCAACTGTCACAGACACATTAGCACACTTGCTCCCACGCGCACACACTTTTATACAGTAGTACTCAGGCCTTTTGTTGACTTACACTCTTGGGCTCCATCATCCTGGTAATCAGACGCAATTGAAGCCTCATCGGAGGGAACTGAGCGGCCGAGACTGGATCTGCCGTTGTCATCGGAAATGTCTTCGTGCTGCGAATCGGCTAAATGTGTACAAAAAAAATCTATCAATAACACAACTAAATGCATGACAATAAATGTGGGTTTTTCTTTTAATTCACGTTTGAAAAGCAAATGACATAAATAAATGTCTCCTTAATAATTTATAATGCAGTGGCAGAATCGTGTTTCGGTATTTTTAATATTATACATTGTTGCAATACAGTATCTCGCTGTACTGAAATAAGAGCATTATAATATTACTAGTGGAGCTACAGCTGTAAAATGCACTTACCGTTCAAAGAAAAGTCCTTAGGATTTCTGTAAGAGCAATAAAAGAGCTGCTGTTAAAGAGTTCATGCTTATTGGCTTCCTGCATTGACCACAATACCACAGCTTTCTCCTAACACATTCATATTCTATGCATAGCCTACTTACTACAGTACAGTGGAACTTGATTTCAACAATAGTTTTCTTGTCTGGAACGTTTCACTGTACAACACGACCCATGTTTATCATTGAGTGTTTACAGGTGCTTGAACATAAAGGGGAACAGATAGTGTTGTGAGTGGGACACTGATTTGACTTTTATGTTTCAACTGTTGGCTCTAAGGAGATGGATGATTTAGCTGCCATACTGCAAAACATTTAAGCAAACATTTGTATACAGACAATGTTGGGTCTCGTCTACAAGCCATACATAGATTCCTAGGGTGTCCATTATTCACAAAGATATGCATACAATTTCAATGTATGTGAAATATGTGATGTTGTGAAGAATACATTGAAATTGATATTGAATCAGGAAAGTTGCATTAAGAACCTTGAAAGTTTGGGTAAAGACACAAACAGTGATTGGATAGTGGGATTCCATCTTACCCCTTTTGGACAACACTAAAGTTATTCAGCAGAACTTGTCTGATCTCATCTGCGTATTTGCTCAGTGTTTCCTCCTCAAGAACTTCAGTTAAAAAGTAGTGACTGTCTGTGGATAAAAGAAAGATTAAATGAAATGCGTTGAACTGAATATTAAGAACTTTAATAACTATTTGTCATAAAGATCGATCTGAAAATCCTTGCTTGAGCATATGGCCTGCAGAAATATATGAGAACAGTGCGCTGTAGGGGATAAACTTCTGATTTATGGTGTGTGCTACAAAACTGTCAGTGAGGTAGACCTTGAGTTTGGAAGAAGAAAGTTCATTTGTCAAAAGGTACTTATGATATAGACTTGGTGCATCGCATTATCTGTCATGTCATCTTTGCAAGTTACATCTACGTTTACTTTAAACGTAAAATGCAAATGTGAAACTGGTTTGGCTACATCACAAATGTGTTGCTTTCAGAGGCATGCAAATATATTCACTCCAATTCTGACACTCTGACATTTACAGGTATGGTAAAGAGAGTGCAAGTGTCCATATTTGTATATTTAATTCATTAGATCTAAAACTCCTGACTTTCCTGGATTAAATGAGGAGAAACTATGTATTTATAATTGATTAGTTCCTATTAGGGGAAAAAATAAGTGACATTACCCTCCAAAAGTCTCCGGATGTCATTGGAGATTGTCCCCATTCTTGGTTTTCACTTGGCCTCCTCAGTTGACTGTCCCTCAACCCCCTTTAGTAAAATCAAGTCTTGTTATATGGTAAACTACTATATTTACTGCTCACTGGCTGAAACTGGAGAAAGGCAAATTCACTCACAGTTACATAGTCGGGCAAAGCATCTCACCATCTGTCCTTTTGTTCTGTAACTCAACTTCCGTGCATGCATCTTGATTTGCACAAAATGGGGAGGAGCAGGTGCATAGATGCTCACTTCCTCTGTCTGCATTCTGGTTTTTAGTGGTTTGACCTCAGTTTGATTCAATATGCGTTTGGGATACTTCTGAGTTATTGAGGTTTCAAGTTTTCAAGTGCTAGTGAAAATGCACAGATAGATCCATAATGTTCTGATTATAAAATCCTCAAAATGGCTCAAGCTAGAGTGTCTATGTGGCCTCCAGGAACAAGAATATATCAGTATTTTCATTTTGCCAGAACAAGTTGTTAACAGGAAAAGACTTACTGTTAATGTGTTTGAGTGAAATAATAAAGTCTGCTGTAGTCAGGTCTAATATCAGGCTCTTGAGGTTTCTGGAAAGACAGGGAAAGTCAAAGAAAGGGAGATCATAAATTACTTTTGAGAATATTATATTTCACAAGTAGGTCAAAACTAATATTTACAGTCTCTGGTCAAAACTAGCACTACATTGTAGCAGTTAATATTCAATTAACAATAAAAATACTATTTACCACAGTGGATATAGGACTCGTTAAACCAGTAACTAACTTATGAACACGTGTGAAGGTCACTTACAAGATGCGACAGCGGTCCCCTGAAGTTAGCATTAGCATGTGTTAGCTTCTGTGGTTAGCTTTGCGCGTGCTCGCAGCTATCTCTTGTAGCTAGCAGGCAAGTAACCCGGAAAATGCAACAGCCTTGTACTTACACAAAAGAGTATATATAACTACTATACTCTAACTATATATAACTACTAACTACTGTACTTCTATACTCTTTGCTTACACTGAACACATGTGAAGCTAAAATGCCTCTGATGCCATCTGGGTACAGCTTCTCTATCAGAGCTAACGTAAACCTGGAAACGAAATTTAGAAACGATAATAATTAAAAAACGTGTTTGTATTTTGTATTATGGTATTACTAAATGAAATACACTTGTTTGTTTCTGATTGGACGTGAACGCGCCAGCCCACATGCTTTTTCAAGACATTACAGACAGGTTAGTTTTGTCATTTTCCATACTGAGTGAAGTGTGCCTTTTGTTTTGTTTACCGGTGACCAGAATTGCCACGAGCATGGTTTATAATGAGTTGTTGTTTGTAGGCTTTAATAAATGGCCATGTGGGGGGACTAAATGCACTGACTAACCTTATTGATTTTGTATATCCATGCAACTGCAGGTGGAGCTATCAAGAAAACAAGGTTCAATCATAGACTGTTAACATTGACATATTAGTCTGAATAGTTTATTAATCCACAGTGAAATATTGAACCAAACTGAGATGGTTCAGAGATTTGACTGACTAAGAATTACATTAATTTGTTTTTGTAGACATTTTGGCGTGCTACAAGCTCTATCCTTATACACAAGGATTCATATTTGCATAGACTGATTTAGAATGTTCAGTTTAATATTTTTACCCTGCTGTATTTGCTGTCCATGCATCCGATTCTTCCTGTCACCTCTCTACAGGAAGCCAGAGGTCAGAGCAAGTTGAGTCCCATGTCACGATTGTCCCCGCTCTGACCTGTCCCTGACTGGCCTCCCAGCAAAAAGCCCCTGTGAAGGTAAGAGGAACTGGGGTCCCCTCCCCTGGAAAAGAGGTTCCCTCCCCTTGACAGCACTACAGAGCCTGGGCCACCTGCCTGCTGGGCCCGCCCCATATGAAAAGGGAAGCTCTTTGTAATCTGACGGGGATTACACCACCCAACAATGCACCGCTGAAAGAGCGACAAAAGCCCTGTATCAAACACTGCTGAGGGGGAGCAAGGCTATGATCTCCCGCTACTACCAACACTGACTCCTTGGCCACCTCTCATCTCCCCGAGAGCCTCTCCCCCTTCTGCATTCAGAGCCTGTGTCCTCCTTCTGCCCTCTCATCTCTAGGATCTGGTCTTTTATCAGTGCATTCCTTTTCATTTGCATTGCATTGTGGGGAGGGCCAGCAGGTCTCTCTGATCTGATAGAGCCAAGAGAGAGTCAAGAAGATCCCGAGGGCATGACGGGTGTGTGTGTGTGTATCTGACCCACACAACACTGCATTCTCCAGATAGGCCTCACAGTCCACAAGTGTCCACACCAGTCTTTCAGGCTGCAGGAATCTGAATCCATTTGAAATAACTATCAGGAAAGGAGGTGGTTTTCACATCATTCATGTTATTATTAAGTATCTTTACATTATCTGTGGAGGTATTTAATTCAAATTGATGTAAACTGTGGACCAATGCTTTATCTCTGAATAACATCGACTTCTTGGAGAGTAGCTTTCATCTCAAATTCCGATGACAAGCTTTTAACACCAATTTACAATTACCAATACATTGCTTTATTAAGAGCTATGTAGTAACCTCCTCTTAACCTTTAGCAGCTGCTGCGTGACCCCTGAACGATACTGCTGCTGATAAGAAGTTGTTTGTCCTGATTCTTTAGGATTTATTTGTGTTGTTCAGGGAAATAGATTGTTTACTTTTAGGATTTCATTGTATTCTAAACCCTGAATTCAAATAATCTATAAAGGTGGCTCAGGGTTATGCAAAGAAAAAAAAAAAGGGTCAAACTGTTTACTGACTGTAAAGTCATTTTGTTGACTTGAAAAACAGGTACATCTTTATCTTTTTTTAAGTTGCCTACAAATCTAAAAAAGACATGTATTTCTATTTGTTTGTTAAATGTGTATGTTTCTTACAATATAAAAACTGTAACAATTAGCGCCACAAATCACCTCGACATTTTAATTGGGTCTAAAATGTTTAACGACTCTGCCTACAGACATGGACAAAAAGCCAGTTTGTTACATATTTGAATGATAGCGGTTGAAAAAAGAGAGTTTAAAATATTTTTTTATTAATTCCTGTTTTGCATAGATGCAGCTTTTTATATAAATAGTTAGAACAAAATTAGGAAAAAGAAGTTGGCTATGTGGTTTCAGACTTCCTTTTTTGTGGCTCTGTCCAGTGAAGAAACCGCTTCTATTACTTTCTTTTGGTCAAATATATCAGAGCTAGACACATAGATTTCAGGATGTTTTAGGAGAATCAGCCCAGAGAGCAGTGAATTGAAAACCATTGAAATAGTAATATCAGGACATATGAGCCATTTCAAAATATTAACTCAGCTTTATTCAAGGTGTCTTGTTAAGATTTGCAGTTGGGTGGACTCGACTGAGCGATGGCATACCTCAATTATACATGATATATGATTGAAAGGGAGGGACCTATTTTTCATTACAGAGACTTTGTCCCTATGAGGCAGTTGTTAAAGAAGAATCTATGAATTATCTCATGTAGAAACAACTGGCCATTGTCACGAGCGGATGACAGCGAAGGGAGCACAGCGGTGTTGATAGATTCAGACCAAAGTATCGCCTACAGGATGTCTGTTTTGTTTTAAATGTGTGCAAATATGAAAATGATAATATGAAATGTACTGTCTCAATAAGGCACACAAAAACATGACTCCATTTTAGTGCAATGCGTTTGTACAAATTCCACCTCCAAGATCCACATAGCCTCCTCCTAAGGGAGTGTGCACTATTTAGGCATTTATCACTGAAATATAATGCCATAATTGACAATAATAATAATTAAACATCTACGTCTGATCTGACTTGAATATCAAAGAAAATAACAAAATAATTTGCCATTTTGGTCTTTTCATTTGGAAATTACTTCAATTAAAATAAAAAAACTAGTCAACAAATAAGATAATTGGTTGATTAAGAAACCTACGACCGATCGACAGCCGTATAGATGCCACGGAGAGAGAGGAGATGCAGAGAGCTTGGAGGACGAAGTGTGTCTATGTTGTGCCTTGTATGCAGACTCTCGCCTCGCGCTGTCCAGTTAATTGGAATACAAAGCAGCAAAGGGGTCGATGGGAGAGCGAAGCAGCTGAGGAGGAGGGTGGGGGGGGCTCGCTGTCTGTCTCCCGCTCAACCTTCACTGCTCGCTGGGAATTGACTGGGGAACCAGCGAGCGAGACCGACACACTGTCACTGTTAAAATGAACTGTCACCTTGCATTTCTCAAGCCCCTGGCACCATCGAATTGGCCGCTTTGAACCATGTGACGTGACACTGATTGAGTTCTGGTTTTCCCCTCCTGGGCTATAAGGAATGGGCAGCTTTAATTTCAAGTGTACTGGCTTCCCATGCAAAGTGAGCCGTGGCACATTAGAGAAAGAAAGTATAGCTTCAAATATGTTAAACTGTTTCCCCAAAAAGCAAATTTCTCAAAGCGGGCGTGGATTATTCTCCCTCACCACCCCTCATTATTTCATTGTGCTGCTTCGTTACTCTGCCTCTCAGCTGGTCTTGTTTTTCTTACGGCATATAGTCATGGCGTTCTGACAGCTACGCGGAAGAGGAAAACTATTAGGGGTAGCCATTTGGATCCTGGAGGCAATCCCAGGGAGTATTAAGATGTTAACCCTGGCCAAGTCACTTGTCTTTCTCAGTTACTATGCTGATGGAGTGGGGAAAGGATGCGGGCGCAAGGGACCCAAGAGGCTGCTGCTGCTTCTGGGGCTCCAGGTTGGCGGGGTTTCCAGGTCCAATCGAGCCTGACTGGTGGAGGGGGGATGGTTGTCAGAAATTGCCCAGCCTTGGCTAAAAAGAGCCACAACAAAGAGTGAAGATAATGGAAATTCACATTCATAACCTGGCAGCATTGCATGACATGATTTAAGTTATTTACATTAACAGTGGTGATAGCATCAAAATGATCCCACTCTGCTGCTGAAGTGTTTTACAAGTGCAGCTTTTAGAATTGTTTAAACGATAGTAGTGTGAGATTTCATAACACTTTGAAGCAACTTTTGTTAAAGTTAAACTCATCATTCTATCAATGTGCAGAAGCCTGTACTTTTCCACTTTATGTTTTGTCTATCTGAAGGCCAAGCTACATGGCACCGTGGCAGCTGCTGATTGGAGGTCTCCATGCCTCCGCTCTGTATAATACACTTGCATTCTATTGTATCTGTGATCGTGTGCTTTGATTGTGCTGTCTCTACCATTGACAATAAAACATGTCTTCTGTCTGAATTAACGACGCGATCCCAGACTATGTCATCTTCTTCAGGTGGTGGAGAATGCGGGCATTGTCTGTAACATCTAGAGAACAGAAGACTACTTTTTTTTTACACAAAAAGTGTTTTTTTTTTTCAAGCCAAAACTGAGAAACCTCAAGAGAAACCATGCATCTGGACCAGCACACTTGGACTATCTGCACAGCCCCTGATTCCAGTCAGGCTGTGAGCTTCTGAGACATGGACAATACCATCGTCCTCTTTTGCAAGGACATAATTTGGAACAATCTGGATTTCTGAATTTGGACATAATTTGGACTGAATTGATTTGCTAAATCTGGACACTGAAGCTGAAACGTGTGATTGAAAGACACATCACAGAAGAATTCATGGCTCGACACAAATGCAGCCTGAAGAAACCAACAGGAGAAGTGGGAGAGACTGTTTTCAAAGCAATATCTGGAACCACCATCGACTGATGAAGTTTGGTATTTTACTGAAGATTGTTGACAAGTTTTATGAAAGATCTGAACATGTTTTATGAGTTTTTGAAGTATTCCGAGTTCTGAGTTTTTTGAAGTACCGAGTGAAGTACCGAGTTTATGAGTTTTTGAAGTATTCCGAGTTCTGAGTTTTTTGAAGTACCGAGTGAAGTACCGAGTTTATGAGTTTTTGAAGTATTGAGTTATGATGTTATGTTGCTGTTTATCGATCCTGATGGTCACACGTGAATGTATGACCAGAGGGGGGAATGTGAGATTTCATAACACTTTGAAGCAACTTTTGTTAAAGTTAAACTCATCATTCTATCAATGTGCAGAAGCCTGTACTTTTCCACTTTATGTTTTGTCTATCTGAAGGCCAAGCTACATGGCACCGTGGCAGCTGCTGATTGGAGGTCTCCATGCCTCCGCTCTGTATAATACACTTGCATTCTATTGTATCTGTGATCGTGTGCTTTGATTGTGCTGTCTCTACCATTGACAATAAAACATGTCTTCTGTCTGAATTAACGACGCGATCCCAGACTATGTCATCTTCTTCAGTAGTCTGTCCAAAGGGTTATACAAGTGTCTATTCTAATAGACAGGAACAGCATGTTTCGTTCATCTCTCTACATTGGTTTCACATTTAGGTGTTTTAATAATAATGAAAAACGTATATTTGATCCATCAAAAAGACAAAACTGATGGTTGGCCAAGCATTTTGAATAATTAAAGCATTTTGAATAATTAACTGCTATCTAATACTAACAGGTTTAATACCATGTAAACAGAAGATGTTTTGTGAAATAGTGCTATTAAAAAGGTATTTTAGTGCATTTCCTAAGTTGGATCTATTGTTAGTATTAGATAGCAATATGGCCTAGGTGCAGGACTGTACAAGGACTCTACAAGGACTCCATGTTATGACTATGATTTGACTGTCTCTTTGTGACACGTATGTCTTTCCATGTGTGACGTGACAATGACTATATAAACTGTGTACTGCCTTTATTCTGTCTGAGAGAAAGAATCATGAGTATCTCTCTCATTTAGCACTCATCAATGTATGATTTTAAAAATATAAACATCACTCCCCAGTTTTCTCTCTCAGATCCTCAGGTCCTCAGGGTCCCCAGGTCCTCTGAGGGTGAGTCTCAGTCGTCATCAGGTCAGGTCATAGAGAGATGTCATCTTGGACATCAGAAGGGTCCAAGCCATGGTTTTGGTCTCTCCAGATGCACATCAGGATCTCCAGATACAGTCTTTTCACTTGAAGCACATCAGGTCATTTGCGATGCACTTCTGGTCAATGGTGCAGTGTCACAGTTCCTGTACACAGCTTGTTATGCAGTAGTTAATTGAGACTCAGCTCGTTTTTGTCTGTGTTTTGACTGAATCTGCTGAGTTCTTGTGTGTCCAATAGTGTTTGTTTGTTTTTATTTTTGATTTGTTTTTGTTTGTTTTTTTTTCCCAGGATAGAGGATATAATCCACTGATATTGATTTGATGATTATGAGTTCAATGCATACATTTTCTTTGTTTTTAATAATTTTTTAAAGTTTTTTTTTTTGATTTTTTTTTTCTCTTTTTCCACTTTATTGATTGATCAAACTGAGTGATCACATGTGATTATGTGATCAAAGGGGAGGGTGTTAGTATTAGATAGCAATATGGCCTACGTGCAGGACTGTAGGACTCTACAAGGACTCCATGTTATGACTATGATGTGACTGTCTCTTTGTGACACGTATGTCTTTCCATGTGTGACGTGACAATGACTATATAAACTGTGTACTGCCTTTATTCTGTCTGAGAGAAAGAAACAAAGTAAACCAGTGGAACTTGAGAGAAACTTAAATAAACTTCCAGAGTTTGGCGCACCACGATTTGTCTCTGTCTGCTAAATCCTGACACTATTCTGGAGTTCATTTGTTTTTCTTCAACATGTATTTAACTTTGGATTTAAGCACCTGTTTCAGGGACACTGCATCGCCGCTTTCATCATAACATGATAAGAGTCTCAGTGCTGAAGTCACATCATCTTGTGTGCACTTTTAGCACTTGAAATAGGAGAGCTATGAGACCAATTGTTTATTGTACAACAGTGTCTGCTGTCGTCAATAACCCTGTCTTCTATACGATCTCCGCTCTCACCTGTATTTAACAACAATTTATGAGAGTAGTGTGACTTCGATGTCGTAACTCAAATTCTGTGATACTTGTCTAATAGCGGAGAAGCATCATATAATCATACATCTGTTCTATTTTTCAGACAACCAACCCCCTTTAACGCATGAATACTGTATCATGACGGCCTTTGAAGCGCCGGGATCCTGTGGAGTGACATGCGACAGAGGAACTGGTAAAAAACCAAGGAAGTGAGCCTGGCAATAGACTTGTAAAAGAGCCTGCAACAACTGCAAGCAGCATGGGGTACAAACAGGACTGGCCTGACCTCAAACAAAGTGCAGGAGGGGGCAGGACAGCTCGAGATGTGGAGATAACAGAGGTGAAGGAGGTATAGTGCATCTTATATTACAGGGAGATGCAGATAGGCCGCGAAGCTTCCCACTACGCAGTCACAAGATAATTACATATACAAGTTGAAAATGTAATTTGAATTGTTACAAAAGAAAATATTGCATTCATTAATGCATTGTATCTTATTATTTATAAAGCAGTACGTCATCCAGCCCTTTACAACATGTTTACAAATACATTTCCTGTCAAACGCACTCACCTAAAGTGGACAGTGAACAGAATACAATTAAGCCATTCCATTATGAATATGGGCGATAGGAATGACAAGGAGGGACCAGACAGGCATTTGCAAAAGCAAAATGGTACAAAAGCATGTCAACAGATACTACAAAGACAGATTTTTTTATTACTAGTCATTCAAAAAGTAAGTGGATAAAAGACACAGATCGTGTTTTCATTTAATAGCACTTCAAATGAAGAGCAATTTTAATCGAGACATTGCCCCTTTTTATTTAATGAACACTGGAACTAGTGCAGTCAAGATAACACAATGTCTGACTTAGTAGGGAGAATCGTAGCTATAATCGTTAGGCTAATAACTAATCCCAACACTGATTTTCTAAATTATATTTTATACAGGTATTATATTTTTACCACACAATAATCTTTGGTATCATCTAATATTTTTTAGACCTGATAGGGGAAACATTGAGTTACAATAATGCACAAAAAAGGTTTTTTAGCCTTTTTATGCATTTGTTCCACACCATCTATCAATGCTTTGACATTTCCATACAGTGATTCATGTTTATCTATGGTAGATGTTTTGTTTTTGTATTCATCCATTTCCTGTACGTACTTGCAATATGTAGCTTGGGTTGGGGATTTTCAGTTCTCCGTGTACAGAAGTTGATTGTTTCTGCGGCCATTGTTACGTTAACCCATTCCGTGTGTGACCTACATTTCGCCCGCAAACAGCCATGGGCGCAGTGCTAATCCAAAGGTGAAAAACGGCCTCCTCCTTTCTCCTCTGCTCCAAACATCTGTCTTGACGCTGGTGTTGGCTGCAGCTCCGGCTCTGACACTTCCAGATGGAGAGCCCACTGGGAGCTGTGAGGTATTACCTACAGAGATGGCAGGAATCACACCTCCAGAATGAAGTCCCACGCTTGTTTTCTGGGCTTTGCTTTTTGTTGTTGAATCTGTCACCCTTCGCCATATCGATTGTCGCTTCCCCAGTCCTTGGCCTTGCAACTTGTGTTAGTGTTTGGCTTTGTAAGGAAACCCAGACAAGCAGCAAGCCCCTCAAACCTTTTCTAATTTACAGTAATGGGCCATGTGCCATTTCAACTGTGACTTCAGTCTATGGGGTTGTATTCATTTAATATAGCTGTGAAAGAAATGCATTTGAATGTATAACTCCCCATATGCTCAAGAAATATGTTTTAAGCTGCTAAATCTTAACCTCCATCTTTATTACTATGCGTTCGATGAATGATTGTCTGCCAGCCACCACTATTATGTGTTTGTGTGTATCTGTTCATTTGAATATAGTGCCTCCTATTGTATTCTTCTGAGATAAGATAAGACTTTATTTGTACCACATTAGGGGTATTTTTTCCACACAGAGAATAAGACAATTTGAAGGTCTCTCCGTTTTTATAGGAACCGTAAATCTAACCATAGTTTAATTATTTTGAAATGATTTAAAATGGATTCCTATGACAAAGATATCTGCAAATTAAAGATGGGGTACCTTACTTTTGTTTCGTAAATAATGCACATTTGTCCAACAGAAATAGGCTTGTAAAAATAAAATAAAACACCATATGCTCGCTTCATTGTATTAAAAAACCTGTTATGTTTTGTATCTTGTACGAGAGCCATGTGGGTCACTAAAATTATTATCACACATGTGCATTGGATGAAATGCACATGAAAAAATAAGAAAAGGGAAATATAGGACCATTAAGATACAGATACTGTAGTAACAATATGTTCAGTTCTTCAGAGAATTATGTTTAGCAATAATACAGATAAAACAGGGGTCCAGTACAAAATATGCTGGTCATATTGCACAACTATCTGACTCTTTAGGCAAGAGTTGATTGGCTGAGTGACGGTAGTCCTCTCCTTTTCACTGTTCTGTCTGAAACAGCTGATCTTGTGTGACAGAGGCCCAAAATACATGCATGGGAAACTAGTGTTAGAACCAAACTGTTTTGAGAGAGGGGAACGAGTTAGACGTATTTTAATGCATGGATCGACTTTTTCCTGGTTTGAACGTTAGGTACTTCAGCTTTAATTGTATATTTTATAAAGTACCTGCTAAAACCTCTCAAGTATGAGGCACAGAGTGGACTTCTCAAACTCATTCTGTGGTCTTGACAGATTGGCCTGCATTCATTTGCGCCTGAACTCTTGCTGAACCTCCTCTTATGGAGAAGGGCACGGACAGGCCAGCACTGGGGCCCAAAGTGTGTGTGCTAACCTAACACCCAGAGCAAATATTGAAACTCCTATCCTAGTGCCATCACTTGAAACTCGGTGGTCAGGTTCCGGCAAATGTTTGGCTAAAGGTGAGGTCAAGAAAAGCAGGCTGGTGTCAAGTGAAATACTATTTTTAATGGATGTATAGTGTGTCAGTGGGCCTTCAATATTAATGCCTCGCTAGTGAAGGTATGAGCAACCTGCGTCACTCAAGTCTGAGGTGAATTTGGGTAACAAACCAAGGGTGAGACCTGGATCCCTGGAGTTTGTTGTCATGTTTAGATCCCCTGGAGGTATTTGAGGGTGAAAAGGTCACTAGAAACCACCCCATGTGTTGTGAAAGATTTTTTCTCCTCACATTATGCAAGTGGACTTTACAGAGATCACTTAAATTGAATATTTCTGAAAAGAGAACAAGGAGTTTGAAAAATGTTGACTGTAGGGCTATAAATGACCAAATGCATTCTTGGTGGACTATAAGGCAATTGTTTTGTTAACTAAAAAAAGGGGAAAAGCTCTGGAAACTATAATTTGTTTGGTATGAGATCACAAAAAATGCTATTTATAATGAAAAGTGACCCATGTGAATTTAGCAGAGGATCTGGCTTGAATATCAAAGTAAAATTCTAATTTCTGGGAAAGAAATTGAAGCACATTAGCAGTTTTTACATAGAAATGCTTGTGATTTAGTTTAAAAGATTCTCTCGGCTAATACAATTAGTTGACTGACAGCACGGGTAGCATGTACTAATTTGTATTAAGACACAAGTATAAGGTGATTCATATATTTTATTTAAAAACATGTCAACATTCATTGGAAAATACCCTGTAAATAAATAGTGCAAAAACAAAGACACTGACTATTTCAGTGCCCCAACACAAAATAACTAAAGAGATTACAAAAACATGTAAAGATTATATATATTTTTTGTTGATTTTTCTTTCAGCTCACAGTATTATGCACAAACCACAGTCATACCCTGTTCAGTCCCATCCCACAGTTCTCACAGTTTAATTGGGATTGGTGACTGGAGAGGGAGTTTGTAGAAAATTGCTTTGGTCCCTTTCCAGGTACATTATAAAAGTGTCATTGTTGTTAACAGTCCTTCCCTTTGACTTTTGGGGAGCTGTCAGGGCTACTTTGTTTGTCCATTTGGGCAGAGCTATTGCCAAAAACGCAGCCTGATTTCTCGCGTTTTTTCTGCTTCATTCTGCGGTTTTGGAACCAGATTTTGACCTGTGTTTCGTTGAGCTCCAGGCTGGCGGCCACTTCCACTCTCCGCGCTCTTGTGAGGTATTTGTTGAAGTGGAACTCCTTCTCCAGCTCCGTCAGTTGTTTAGTAGTGAAGTTTGTGCGGATCACGTTGTGCTGACTGGGGCCCCCAAACTCCGAGACGACAGCTGTGATGAAATGAATGATGAGAAAATAAAGAAAACTGAGATGGAATATGATGGAAATGAATACAGAAGATTGTCAATTTTACCCACAGTGCTCTGGTGCTTTTTGAGTTGGGCTAAGTGCGTTATTTAACAGCTATTATAGGCCTACAAACCGTCCGCAGCCACCGTGCCTGGGCGGCACGGTGGCTGAGTGGATAGCACTCTCGCCTCTCAGCAAGAAGGTCCTGGGTTCAAATCCCGGTTGGACCAGGGCCTTTCTGAGTGGAGTTTGCATGTTCTCCCCGTGTCTGCGTAGGTTTCCTCCGGGTGCTCCGGTTTCCCCTACCACTAAAAATATGTACAATAGGTCTGGCATGTGCCTCCTGTACTGGCACCCCCACTCCCAAAAAAAAAAAAAATAACAATTGTAAACCGCTTTGAGACTCCGATGTGCAGTGAAAAGGCGGTATATAAATAAAGATTACTTACTAAAGATTACTTACTACAAACCTGTTTTAGGAGGATTTCTCTTCACTTTCATCCAGTCGAACGTTTTTGTCTCCTCAACTTCCTTCCCTTTGCTCGGCACGGGAAGCCGTGTGTACATGCTGTCTGTGTATTCTTGATGCCTCTGCTCCCCGTTGCTGAATGGCATGTATTGTGCGGCCTGTGCCACTGTCCCACAGCTTTCCCCCGTGTAAGGGGCCATGTTTGTCCCAATGGGAGACACTTGTGCGTGCATATAGCTCCTGTCTTGCTCTGGAGCCAGGCCGTACTGGTGATGGCCATACTCCAGCGGCGGCCCGTACACAGAGTTCCCCGGTGGCGCGTATTGCAAGTCCAGATGGACGTGTGTCTGATGGTGCAGAGGAGGTAAACTCGGGCCTTGATGTGGTGCTGTGGTCGCTGCAACGAGACGTCCATCCGGTGCGTAAGTATCACTTGTTGCGCACGAACTGGACATGTATCCGTGGTTCAGGTTGTGGAATCCGGCCTTGGCACTGAAGAGATTAGCGCCTCTGTTACAAACTGGGTAATCTAGGTATGAGTTCATCTTGAAACTTCGTCTATTGTTAGCAAACAAAATCGATCAAGTCAGAGCCGTCATTAATGGTGCTCCTTGCCCTAACCTTCTAGGTAGTATGTCAAAGCTGTAAATGTGCCTTCCACCCTCATATCACCTTCCTGACACACCATGTGACCTGCCAAACGCCAATGGCGTGAGGCCGGGGACACTCTGTCATGTCTGTGGGCTCGTCCATCAAACGCCTCGCATTTACATGACAAACGCTTCAATCAAGCGCGCTCATCCATCTGATAAGAACAAACATCAAGGCCCATTTTCGCCTACAAGGACTTTAAAATCACATTAAAAGAGTGGCAATGTATATGTAGCAAACCATAAAAAGATCATTAATATTGTTGTGTGAAGGGAATGAGATTTACGTTCAAGCCGAGGAGGTCTGCACTATCAAAAATCAATAAGCAAAACTAAAAATTAGCTGGAATCTAAATAATAATGCATTCGACCCTTTGATTAGGTCAGTCCTCTTTATGTGGGTCTGTGGCATTGAAATAACAAAAACTCATGGATAAGTCTTCTGTGGTCGTTTAAATGTGTCTACAAGTGCACATTAATCATTTAAAGATTTTACGTACATCTGATTGGTTACTTAGTTCATGCGCATGCGTTAAAATGTTGCGTCTGAATTAGTCAACTTTTGTTTTTACTTTGCCAATCTTGTCATTATTAATCTACGCATGTTTCACTAATATTAACTATTTATGCGCAGTATAAATATAAATGAATTCCAATGGTTGCCCAGTGGTCTTTTCTTAAAATGGTAAGAAAGTGGACAGGAATCAAATCCTGTAGTGAAAAAGCGAACGTGGATGTGATCCATCACGCGCTCTTTACAGATTGGCAGCATGTGTGGCCCACTTTGTTCCATAAAATACAAAGGACTGGCATGTGCATGTCTGTTTCTGCCCTCGTTTCTGCAGGAGAAGCCCAATATCTCCGAGGCCATAATGTAATATCTTCTTCCCAAAACCATCACGTCCACAGTCGCCCGTAGGACTCGGTAATTAACTACGGCTTAATGCGGCGTTCTGGAGCTAAGTACTAATTAAACTGCAACAAAAAGGGAGGCTTTGGTGTTTGCGGCTGCTTTACAGTGTTCACGCTGTGTACGCTACTTGATCAGGGGACTAGTGAAACAAGTTAAAACCTTTAACATTTGTATTGGAAACACAATTATAGTTACAGGGCTAATGTTTAGAACGACTTTTAAACAATGCAGTTGAAAACAATGGTTGTAGAAATAATAGGCCTAAATATGTCAATAAGTAGGACTATGGTGTAGGCGCCAGAACGAGATCCACAAGTCCAGTCAAAGGTGCTACATATGAGTCAGCTTTGGAGCCTGCATGATTCTGTCCTGCGCGGTGCAGCTCTGGGAGAAATATGAGCCCGAGGCGTCGTTTACTCCCACATGCACGTGCGAATGACCGTGCGCGTCAAAGTTTGCATTAAACTGTGGCCCGTGCGTAAGACGAGGCTCGTCTCTGGGTGCAGCATATTTGGAGAAGTGTTCAGACTCTTGATACACTGCGGGCTGTAGTTGGACTTTAGGTGGAGGGGAGACTGAGTAATCTGGACCCAGATGCACATAGCCCAGGCTGGAGAGGGTGGGGCTGTCTGGGTCTGAAGGGGGAGACGGGGAGCTCTTCACGCGCTCGTCCTTCTTTTGCTTCATGCGCCGGTTCTGAAACCAAACCTTGATTTGTCTTTCGTGCAGATTCAGTAGATTGGCCATCTCCACACGCCTTGGCCTACACAAGTACCGACTGTAGTGAAACTCCTTCTCCAACTCCACGAGCTGTGCGCTCGTGTAAGCTGTGCGCGTGCGTTTGGATGACGGGGACGCGCCTGCCCACTTATCATTGGAATCTGTGGATAAACACATGTGCAAATTTTCAAAGGGGGAAATCTATTTTTTAAATACAACTATTTATCGAGAATCATCACGATGACTGGGCCCACGTTTAAGTCTCATTAACAAAGATGATTAGAAATACTGATCAGTATTTTTTAGGGTCACATTGAAATTAGATGTTAACCTTATGTAAAATACTCATTTCATTTGACATTTATGGACATGCATTGGTCCAGATACAGCTGTTAATTTAATGGCAGTCCAAATAGATAAACAAACAGGGATCAGTAATTGGAACATAATTCAAATGTCTCAAACGTATTTAGACATTGTTTAAATGGCATGTATGTCTGCTCAGTGAACTACTATTAATGTTGCTATAACACAGGCCCTGGCCTAATTAATAGCTAAACCTTTTAGGGAGGAAGCAGACAGAGCATTGTGAGATTTCATTGAACCAAATGAAAAGTCCCTGTTTGATTTGATACAAACCTGAAATGCTCATTTGATTCCTGTGTTTCTCATTGGTCTGTCTGGACTCTTTCATCCAAGGAAAGATCTTTTTACTCATGCTACTCTTGGGGTTTCCTCTCCCAGGCGTCTCTCCGGACTGCCTGCCCTGCCTGAGCGGCTGTGGCTGATGTGCAGTTTGATGAGGAGCAAAACCGTTCTGCAGAGAAATCCCCAAGAACTGGTTTTGGTAGAGGCTGTGTGGAGCTGTGTGCGTTTCCATTAAGTGCGCGTCGCCGGGGCCCCTTTGACCTTGTGACAGAGCACTGGCAGCCAAATGTCACATGGCAGCTTTCCACAGAGAGCAGAGCTTCTGGCCTGAGAGCAGAGACAAAATAGACACAGACAGAATCAGGGAGGAGACCAAATGATCCATCTTATGAACTCAATAGTGCGCTGACATCAATAGCAATACTCTCCTAAAGCAAATATGCAAAGAGAAAACCTATGCTTTTCGGTGTAAACAACCACCATGCTGGGTATTATTGTTGGTATCTCGTTATTTTTTAGTCTCAAATGTTTTTGTTTTTTATCTGTAAATTCTAAATATTTTCTTTAAAAAATTAATTCGCTTGGACACAATTCTTTTTCCATTTCAAAAGCTACAGGAAAACAAATTAGGCTTCTCCCTGAAACAAATACGCCAACAGTAATACATTGTTAAAGACTGAAAAAACAACAACACTCATTTATCAACACACGGATTTTACTTCATGAATATATAAAGGCATACATTTTTAATCTTATAGTTGCGCACCAAGGCTTTGCAACAAGCCGGGCCTATTTTTAAAACGCACAAAAATAAAATCTCGTTATCAGCTATTATTGGTTATAAAATCAAATAAATAGAAGCCATAGGCGTGTCACAGTGTTGCGATGGATATGTCAAACACATACGTTAGTGAGCCATAAAACGCATTACACAGCAGCTGTTATAAGCTACGTTTGTGACAATAAAAAGGCGCGATTAAAAACGGCATTCGGATCCAACGAAAGTGCAAAATTAGAAAGAGAAAGGCGAGGAAAAGAGAGAGAGAGAGAATAAGTCTGGAGGCATGCAGCTTTATGAACTCTGGGTGAACCGTGGCTCGAGTCACGATCGTAAATCATAAAGACACATAGCCCAGTCCGCGGCACAACAGCCGGCTGCCTTACCTCCGAAACTACATTCATCGCGGGCAAAAACAATCCCAAATGCACAACAACGACTCCTCTTCTCACCTTAGGAAAAACAAAACATGTCGCTGATAGTAATTTTGGAATAGGAGTCCTCGCGTGGGGTAGTGTTGATTAGTGCGTCTCAGGCGTCACGGTGTGCCTTTGAGTGCCAGTGGGCTGAGGCTGAGTGGACAGTGTTTCTGCTCAGCTCACACCGCGCTGCGTAACATTTTTCCTCACGCAATATCACCCAATGTGCGCGTGTGACAAAAAAAAGAAGCCCTGTTCCTGCTGATCACGCAACATCATGTATGGACATAGTCAGCGATAAAGATAAGAAAGAGTTTTTACGCACCAGACTAATGTGACAATTAAATCTCAAACTGGCCGAGGAGAAACAAAGGGAGGTCAATCTCGCCTTTGAATCTAGATTGGGAAATGGAAAAATAAAGTTATCCTTAACATAATGAGAATGAGCCTTTCCGTCATTTAAAACCATTTGGCGTTTTAGCAGAAATTGGAGCGCGTTCATTGTGGAAAGCCACCCAGTCACATCTCTTTCAGTTTAAACAGCACTGGGAACGTGTCCAGCGGTGTTATAATAAATCCCAACATGGCTGAAGTCCCCTTTAGGAGCGATGCCAGACAGAGATACCATAAATTGCTCATGCACAGAAAGCTATCAGTATTTAGACCCGGGCTGCGCACAATGAGCCAGGCTTCATTTAGTCCTGCCATCACTTCCACATAGAAAGTGCATTACATTTAGTTTGGGTAATGAGGTTTTCCCCTTTCTTTGTTAGTTGTGTAATTTACCAGAGTGAAAGCATTTTTTTAAAGTTAGAACGAGTCGGTGGTCAGCAGAGGTCATTAAAAACAGAGGTCTCGGTGCGTAACGAGGCCTTGTACAGTATGGACCCGGCTTCTACATGCTGACAGTCGGACAGCAGCAGGGCATCGATCGCAGTCTGGCGGGGCTTTGATCGCTCATCTTCATCCCTGCTCGATAGGTTTGATCGGTTCTCAGAGGTAATATTTAACCGAGGGACACAATTAACGCCAAATGGATGTCTTTGATCTCCGAGGCGTTTGACACCCAACACAGGCGCACAAGTTTTTAATAAACGAACAGTGGCACACGAGCTCTGGTTTCTTTAGATCTAAGTCTGCTGGCCTTTGTTGAATCACAGTTTGAGCACAGGCACATGTTTTTATTGGTAAACTAAAAGGCGTGATATGGGCTATAGGTTTTATATAGAAAACAAAGAAAAAAAAACCTTTAGCCTTGTTCATTATGATTTCCTTAAAATATGTTTCAGTTGTTTTAATTAGATCTACTTATGCTTAATTGTTCTACTGCAGATGGTTTAGTGATGCCGGAAAGAATGAACAAGGTTTGGATTCATTAAAAAAAAAAAAAATTGGCTATTTGATTATTAACTCTGTATGTATTCCCAACAACTATAAAATCAGACTATATCTCCACTATATTATCTGATTTTGATTCTGATTCTCACAAGTTTGTTTGGCAGCGTTTACCTTTGGCCTGACAGAAAAGACTGATGCCAATCCTGGAAAAAGTATGTGAAATATGAGCACAGATTACAAAATCCGCCATATTCATAATAAATTGGGGACAGATCATGGACAGAGCACACCAAACCTCAGCAGCTCAAGGTTTGTTGATAGCATATTTGACTCTAAAACACAAATTGCTGCACTGTGTGTGTACTGACGCAACGGGGTGACATTGGGCCCATAGTGAACAGGACATTACAGCCTGCAGTGTCTCTTCTCCATCATTCAGATCTGACAACTCACCTGTTTGTGTCCACACTGAGCACCACTTAAACCTAATTATCATAAAGTGTCTATAGGGGGCGCTGTTTCTCACATTGATGACGAATATTGAATGTATCTAATAAAACACTGACCATCGTTTCTAAACCAAAAGGGCCATAACGTGCTGTACAATAAGGGAAAATGTCCACTCTGGCCTCTGTAGTCTTGATAATACTGTGAAATTTCAGCTTTTCTTAATTCATCTTGATAAAAGTTCTTTTCTATACGTCAGTCTTCAATGAACCATTATATTGACATCACGTGTAAAACAGGTCTTTTGTGGACATTTAGGTCTAAAGGTTGGTTGTTACAATAGTTCTCAATAAAGATGACTACAAAGATTTTCTATAAAATGAACTTCAAGGATTCCATTGATTGAGAAACACTGACTTTAGAGTTGTAACAATTAACAATGTTTATCAACTATTATTTGAGTAATGTATTAATCGTTAACTGATACTTGTTTTTTGCCATATAAATGCTGCTGTCGTGAGAAGTAATGTTAAGAATCAAACAAAGCAGTAATTACAAAAATAAACAAGAAATACATAAATGTTTCAATTTAATCATGAAATAATTTTGTCTGGAAATATTATTTACAGAAATATCCAGAATGTTCTAGAGCAGATTCACTTCAACTTTTTCTGCATTAAAATCACATATCAACGTTCTGAACAACTAATCCATTGATCAAAGGAATAATCTCAATTAATTAAGTAATTCAAACAATTACTTTCAACTTTATTTATAGAGCACTTTAAAAACCACACACTTTAATACTAATATACTGTTTGAGAATACAGTTCAGTATATTTTTGGGAGTATATTTGATTATTAGCAATGCTGACAAAGTGATAGTATTAGATAGCAATATGGCCTACGTGCAGAACTGTACAAGGACTCTGATTATTATGACTATGATGTGACTGTCTCTGTGTGACACGTGTGTCTTTCGATGTGTGACGTGACAATGACTATGTAAACTGTGTACTGCCTTTATTCTGTCTGAGAGAAAGAAACAATTGAAACAACTGGAACTTGAGAGAAACTTAAATAAACTTCCAAAGTTTGGCGCACCACGATCCGTCTCTGTCTGCTAAAGCAGAGCTCATTTGAAACACATTGTTGTAAGATACACCATTTAAACTACAATGTTCAAAAAGGAACGTTATCAAGATGAAATAATAGAGTAACTTCATGCTACTTCAAAATAACATTTGTTTTAAACAGAACTACACAGCTTCAGATGCAGAGGACAGAGCGCCAGGATCACCACAGTCTTTATTTCACATTGATAACACTAATAATCTTTGAGAAGTTCAACTTAAAGTCTGCTATAACTAAATATGAAGCCTGTTTACATTACTGCTGTCTGCAAAACACAGAGACACGTGCGATGTCCGTGCGCTTCAATATGATTTACGTTTCACTCATAAAGAGTTTTATTTTACAAAACTGGCTGCTATGCTAACGTCAGCAGTTGTCTAAAGCCTTCATGATGTTTCGGAGTGTAAACTTGGTGCATGAGAAGACTCCACACACACAGCTGTGCACACACAGTAACACACCTCCTCTGCCTCGTACGCTCTTCCACTGGCTCATTCATGTAAATGGGCTCTTCGTCTCGTACAGTGTGAGCAGCTGAACCAATAATGTTTTATATGATCTGAAAAGGGCACTGATAGCCACCCGCTACAATGCCACCTAAATTCTCTGGTACTACACAAGAAATGTTCCTGTAATGGTAACAAAAACCAGGACCGACAGCTTTCACAAAGGTCAGATGTTGTTAGTGATCAAACCATAACTTATGTGCAACAAACTGGTCCTGCTCTAATCAGTGTGTGCCTCTGCAGGTCGCTCTGATTGGTCAGAATGCTCACATGTTACTGCCAGTGGGGGCGGGTCCCGGCTCAAACAGGTCCATGAGCACGTGAGCTGACATGCTGCAATCCCACTCCTTGCCGGGGGGGTGGACCCAGAAAGAGAATTATCCAACGGCTTTACAGGATGGTCAAAAAGTCGCTCTTGGCCCAAAGCTACGTTCCAGATGCGTGTCAAGTATTTTTCTCTTTGGACCAGTCTAGTTTAGCTGCTGTGGACTTCAGAAGTTAAATGAATGGGGCTAGTGTCGGTTTTTTCATATTTTCCTGACCCGCAAAACAGCCCCATAGAAGCCAAAAGTGATGGCACATTAGTTTCCGCGGCGGAGATAGGCGTGGCTACGTTTACTAATATTTACCGTCTATGGTTTCTAGTCTGGTGGAAGTGGCACCACTGCGCACCGACTGGAGGAGGACCAAAGATGGACGAAGTGCGTCACTGTCACTATTGTTTGGGACATCAAGCTTTGAGCATCCGCCAATGAGCACAGGCCATTGACTTGACTGGGTCGGCCATCTTGGAAACCCTTGAGCTGAACGCGTGCGGCCACTCACTCCCTTTACATTTCGATTGCGTCCTTCTTGTCACATGCTCGAGAGGAGCAGCGGCTCTACTCTAAGCTTCTTCCGTGTGATTGAACTCACCCTATCTACATAATTTACTCTTTCATCATTAGTCGACAACAATAACTATATATTCAAACCATATTATTATTGCATTTAATATCAGGTTTATGATTATCATTATTATTATTTATTTAATTTCAAATTTTAGAATAACTTGCCCAACTACTCCTAGTGAATGTGACTGTGTCACATATATGCACTGTCAATCCTGCTTTTTCCTCGGATTACAATTCAAAACGAAATATAACTTTTTATGGTCAAAACATCCTTTAAAATGTTGCATGAGTCAAGAAGCTGTGATTCCTCGTTTCCAGTTTCACAAAGGAATCTTGTGTGACTCTGGCTTGGCTGCTCTCTCCAAATATACTGGCTTGGGACAGGCACAAATATGGCCTCCTGACCTCTTGTGGTTGGAGAATGCAATAACAAGGTGTGCTAATTGAAGATCCTGTGAAAAAAATAAGGCCTGACTGAAAATATATAATATTAAAGCCTTTAGAAGTTGTTTCTTCTTCTAGGTTTGAACTGAAGTTGTAGCACAATAATCTGTACGCAGGTGGCTGAAAAAATAGTTCTTGGGCTGAAGTCGACCAAAGGAATTCTTGGTCAACAAGAATTGCTATGAAATCAATTAGTTGGAATTAATAATAGATGTGGCAAGTGCTCTACAAAATATTACCCAAATAATATTACATTTAATGAAAAATAACATAACATTAATATACAATACAATATTGAGAGTCTTGAATCTCACAGTAAATAATACATTTCTGCCCTTTTGCTTCCCATCTCATTTTTTGCAGTTTTCACAGAAATACTTTACAGAAATCCATCGACTAAATGAGTAAATATTGACGGCCGGACATGGTTCTAATTGCAGCCAAATGTTGTGGAGCAGATATTGAAATCTGAAACTCTCTTTTCCTGTTGCCAAAGTATTTAGTATTTCCTCTATTCACAAATGTGAAATTAATTGTAACACACAGTTGGCCTCTTCAAAGAAAAGTGGATCAACACGGTGCATTTAATGTCTCCACATACAATGTTCCACCACGACCTCTAATAAATAATGGTTTTTAGATAACAGTATTTCGGTTGCTCGACACATACAATGTATTATGCTCTAAAGCCTGGAAATACATTTCTTGAGATTCAATTATTGCACAAAATCTGTAATGACCACAAAATGATATAGTTGAAATATGTGATTTAAGTATTAAACTTACATGTGTTACTTTTAATACGATTTTTAAGACAGGCTCCTAATTATTTATTTTTTTCAGTCAGAACCTTGTGAGTCACTGTTCGATGCTTTGGGCTGATTGTTTATCAATACTTTTCTTTTATGAAAACTTTTTAAATTAGTAATACTGTTTCTATCATTAAAATATATGCACTCGATATGAACGTTTTACATATTTACAAAACAACTATTGCTTCATAATTAGATCTGGGTCTGGCATAAACAAAGTAAACTATGTCTGCTCACTTTGTTTATGCACAGACTTGTTTTCACATATAGTTAAAGGTTACAGTAATACAGAAATGTAGAGAGAAAAGTACTATTCAGTAACAGTAACAAAAACCATGCAGCTGTGTTTGAGTTCCCAAAAACACTGTTCCCGGGGAAGGCTTTATGTCATTGGTTTTATTATTAATGCAAACCATCATTTATTACTGACCTTATTATGTTCTAAACACCCGAGATCCTATTATTATTCCTCACATGTACATGATCCACATGCATCAAATAAGCCACAACTATATGTTTTAAACCCAATATGCCTTAACGTCCCTCCAATTTGAACACATTATGTATACATACTTTGCAATGCATTTAGTCACCATTGCACCACGGTCAAGAGCACAGAGACATTTAAAATAAATCCAAATTTGCTTCAGCTTGACATTCTGACCTGCTAAGTATATTGGGCTAAAACACAATAGACTATTTAATGGCAATAGTTATTCTCCAGAAAAGCCCTCAGTCAAATCCTCAGCATAGCACCAGAGCGTTTAGTGCCATAAAGTTGTCTAGCTTCTGTTAAACACTATAAATATAGGCAAATGTGTAGGTCTTGAGGAGCATAACCAGGATTTATGTTCATTTCAAAAAGACACTTGCAGCCATAATACAGCTTTAAATGTAACATTTATGGCGCGCAATAGAGCGATGTCTTGTGTCCATATAGATCACAAATCGTGCGTCAGTTGTTTCCACAAATGACAAAGAAACGCGTGTGCAAACAAATAACGCGCGTACAACAAGATGGCTTCTATGTCAGGTCTTCACTCCGATGGCTCATACAGTAATTGGTCCTCAGTCACAGCAGTCATCCCATGGGCCTGCTGACAAATGCTGCGCTCTGCAATTAGCCGCAGGAACCGCGTGTCCACATGAAGGGATTTATGGCGCTGATTTAATTCAAAGGCAACTGAAGCAACGGCCAACTCTAACTGTCCCTCTAACCCGCGCAAACACTTTCAATAAGTCACGTTTAAGATAAGAAAACTCGCTGAAACCATCATGTGTACCGTTTTAGCAGAGAAATAAAGAACCATCACCCTATAGGGCAGTCTGTGTTCAGTCAGAAGGCGTGAAGTCATGTGCAAATGGATTCAAAACTTTCAGAACAAGTCAAGGACAACATCCAGGCTCTGTTTGACATTGTTTTGAAATAAATGAGTTATGCGTTTAAGAAGGTGCGTGCGTATGTCTTTTGAGGCATGGGGCAAAGGCTACTCCCCTTAAAGATAACTCCACTCAGTAAATTGAACTCGTGAACTCTGAATGACCACCTCTAGTCTATACACGTCCGCTTTACATGTCGTTGATCCCGCCTCCCTTCAATCAAACGCAAAGTCTGCACAACGATTTCTGTGCGTTTGTCTGCGCACTTTACGCACGGCTATATTCAGTCATTACAAAAACTCTGGTGAACTTACCCAGGATTTCTCGCCATCTTCCCGGCCCTGCGCCTCGGTCTCAGGCGTCCACTCTGTAGCGAAAAGGGAAGCTGTTTGTTAAGGTCCTCACATTTCCCAGCAAACTCCTCCTTGACCAAGACGCACATGTGCTGCAGTGAAAAGAAGATAAATGGTGCTCTGGACAATGGCCACATTGTAACTTTTTGCGGATGTCATGAGATTCAAAGAATGTCGGGCCTAAAACGGTGAAGGCTTCGTGTTAACGCTGCTACAGGCTATGATCCGCAAGACTATAAATCACAACATGCTCCATCAATGCGTGCGCTCGGCCTTTTGTTTTATATGCCACATTGAGTATTTATATTTCACACTAAAAATCTACCTTTGTTGTGAAGGGTTGAAGTGTCATCACCTACATACTCCCCAAGATACGAACTTGTGGCTGCTATAATTGTACACAAATTCGGATCTACAGGGTATATATAGATGACAGGTCATCTGCCGGCCACCCAGTCTGGGAGAAGGCGAGAGCTGACGTGGTCTGCATACCTCAAGGATATTTAAAAGTCTATACTGGAAAGAAACGTTAAAATTAGCGACTATTGTAATTTGTTGACAATGATGTGGCCTATTGATGGTCAGTGCCATGTTTTGGTATAATTTGTATGTGTTTTCAATAGTATTCCTCTATATTATCATCTATTACATGGAGGCAAATGTTCAATAGTGCGTTCTTATAATTAAGAAAAAATACACATGTCTAACTCTCATGATAAAACACGTCAGCCCGTGTTCTTTTGGTCTTCGTTGCCTCATGAGGCCTGGTGTATGAGTACTAATAAAATATATTGGTTAAAAGCCTGGGCTATTATGATATATTATCACTTGTAAATTACATGTTTGGATCCTTGACCCAACCGTGTGCAGAGATGGTGTTGATCTCCACCAGGTTAGAGAGGTGTAAAAACAGATAAAGACGCTGAAATGACAAGAGTATTCCGTGTTCAGCGTCTACGGCCCCAACGACAGAGCTGGAGTTTGTGAAAACTCATCCATCATCGAGCTGTCGGTCTGGAGCGCCCTCCTTCGGAGTCAACCTGTCATTACATCCTTGAAGAATCTTGGAAAATTCATGATGCAAACAAACAATGTTCAACATGTGACATTTCTTCTGGAGATTAAATAATCACAAACTCATATATTACTTTGGGAAAGGTGGAGGACGCCATTGACCGAGTCTTTAGGCATTCTATTGATGTGGGGAGCCTGCAGCCCTTCCTCCTCAAATCCACCGTTTTAATTGTGAAATAATAGTTTTCTCATTTATATTTAATCGTTCAGTGACATATAATTTATTACAAAGCGCAGAGCTGCTGCTGTTTTCTCTCCGTGGGCAGGAAACATCTCCTCAGTTTCACTTGACTTTCTCATTTAGCCTAATTTAGTTCTTTCAACCTTATACCTAGACATCTAAGAGTACACCTGTAAATATTGTCATTATTGTCATTATTATTATTGGCTTTTTATGTATTTGGATTGTTTTATTGTATTTATTGAGGAGTAAAATTGAAATTATTAAAATAATAATAATTAGGGAGTACTGCTCGCGCTCTGAGAGTACTCAGCTGCAGCTGAACACATTTGCAGTGCTTCTTGGTGACTGTGCAAAGCGGCTGCATTGAGCCGTGCGTCCTGACGCATCTGCAGCTGCAGAAGTCTCCTGACCCAGCGATGATCCCCGTCTCCATGAATAATGCATGAGATCCGGATACAGATTACCCCTATCAATATGCAATGCTCATTACGCTGCTTAAATTGCCACTTAATAGTTATGAATATGTGGAAATGTCTGAGATCCAAAGCCAATACCAGTGATTTTACTTTTACCTGAAATGAGTTTGAGAAACCTTGGCCAATAGTCTGTGTGACTATTGGGAAACCATAGTTTTAAACTGTAGAATATAATTACATTTTCATTAGTGGTCGATAAGGCACTGACCACGATTTAGATGCACGTCTTTATCTAAATGTAGAGGCCTGTGTCCAGCTCCGCTGCGCTCCCGTGGCCGCAGCTTCACCTTTGTCCGCGCAGTGACTTGACACATTTGGGATAAATCACTCTGGGAACAGCTCAAGTTCGTCTCGTGGCAGCTTCATAAAGGCACTTATTAGTCTTAAAGTGAAATCATGAGAAGATTCTCCAATGCATTGTGTTTGGAGAAGAAAGGATTCTTTTTTATCATATTTTTCGCACGGCAAACAAACGGCCTCATAAAATATACAGGCCTTTATTCTAAAATAATAGTAATTAAAGTTTACTCTAATGTGTATTTTTATGTATAGTGTGGGCTTACATTTCGAAGAGATATCAGTGAAAATCTAATAAAATAACAATTGGTCGATAACAAATTTGGGCTAATTTTACGCACGGTGTTTATCCAATTTTAGTGACAGTAGTTGCTGCCGAAATATGACTGGACATTTCCTGAGTCCAGTCCAGCCTTTCCAGTCCCATCCATGCAGTTAAGCCGTCACTTTCATTCAAGGTTGTGAATTATATTGTACATTGTCTACTCCCCAAAACCATAAAACCAACTTTATGGACCTCACGTGACTTTTCACAGTCTGTAAGTAATATAGGCCCTATACAATCTTTGGTAAGGCTGGGATTTTTACCAACTTCAGCCATTGCATGTTATACCTGTGCCTTTTTGGATATTATTTCTGTTGTAGGCGGCGCTTCGCTTTGGACTGAGGTCAAGACGTGGTAAGTTTGCAAAGTTTGCCTTTTGCGCACAACAAGATCAGGAACATGCGTAAACATTGGTGTTTGTGATTATGACATATGTAATAATTACCGATAATTCAGTTATTATTTTGTATATTTAGAATTGGTAAAGATTTCATTTGACTATTTAAAACACCCGAGACAAAGCAGTTGAGTCGAAACTTTTATTTCAAGCGCTATGAGTTCACTTACAAATACAAAAAGCTTATTGGCGAAAAAGCGTACATCACTTACAGCCTATATCCACAGAATCACCCTTTGCACTAAAAAAGTATCACATTGACAGGTTGAATACATTTGCATTGCTCATAATTATTAGATCTAAAACAATAGATGCACAAAATATCCTATTGAGCTACACATTATTGGCTTCTTTATGGAAATGTATGGTTTGCAATGGCCACAATAGCACCATCAAAATACAGCTATAAGCGCTTTGAATGAATGACTCCAAATACATTACATTCAATGAACAGCAGCATATGGTTTGGAAAGTTTTTTTTCTTATTTTCTGTACAATGACTCCTGTTTAGACCGTCAAGAAGAATAAAGAGCTATCCATGGCGACCTCAAGAGACAGAAAGAGCATCAACAATTATTACTATTTACATAATTTTCCAAATATGACATCTAAGCTATCACAACTAAAAATGGCATTGGGACCACAGAATACTTCTTTTTCTATCACAATAGCATGCTTGGAAGGTGCTGCACTTTTTCCATAGCTTTACAGTACTCATGGATTTTTTTTTTTCATTATTATTTGTATTTTTATCATGATGCTTCCAAAATCTCAGTTGTGGAAGGCGCTGCCTCCTGTCACCAGACTCATGCTTTTGAGTTTATTGTCCTTCTTCCACTTCATCCGACGGTTTTGAAACCAGATTTTGATCTGTCTTTCGGAAAGACACAAGGCGTGGGCTATCTCTATCCTCCGCCGTCTGGTTAGGTATCTATTGAAGTGAAACTCTTTCTCCAGCTCTAGAGTCTGGTAGCGGGTGTACGCGGTTCGGGCCCTTTTTCCATCTGGTCCAGTCATATCTACAATTTCATAGAAAGAATTAGCAGCGGCAACATCATAATTATTTACAACACATGAAGGTGTTTTCTGATGGGATTGTAAACATGATGTGATGCGGAGAGGCATGCAACAAGACCACGACGTAAACACACACTTTCACAGCTTCCACCTCTAAGGCGACACAAACATTTTCAAAGCCAAACCACCAAACCGAATCTTCCAACCTGCACCAGCCTGCCCACTCATGCACTTGACAGATTTACGACAGACGTCCACAGAACAAATATTTTGAGGATATGTACCGTGGCTTATGTGCAGTTTCCGCATCCAAGGGAATATTTGCGGCGTTTGGCAATCTGTGGGAGCGGACGAAGTGGCACTGGGCTCCTGCTGCTGCTGTGCCCGAGGAGCAGAGCTTGAGCCTCCGCTGCTGTGTGCGCCCTCTTCACTCTCTGAGACCCCCGCGCCGCCCTCGTCTATCTCTGTGAAGTGCGCGTTTTTGTTGTTGGAGCCCGAGGTCGCGCTCCGGTCAGACGGTGGAGAGGGGCTTTTTAGTTCCAGTTGTTCCCTGTTGGCGCAGGATGGAGGCGGCTGAGGCTGCACCGGGTCCGGGGACGAGAGCGAGCAGTTGGGCGTCTGTCTGTAGCGGGCATCCTGAGCGAATCCACGGGCGTCATCTCGCACGGCTCCGAAGTGGTTGCCCGCGTTGGTGCGGTTCACGGTTAGGTCCATGCCATTGTAGTTGTAGCCGAAAGACCCGGAGTGCATGGTGCCAGGGTCTCTGAAGGAGCCGCTCACAGCGCCGTTAGTCCCATAATTTAGTAACTGATAGTCGGAGCCATTTGGATAGCGCCCTGAGAACGAGTTTACAAAGTAAGAGCTCATTTGCTTGGATTTTTAAAGCCTCGATTTGTAGATCTTTGTCGCTATAATCCTGTGTGCTTGCACGATTTATGGACGCAATCATGAATTATAAGCAATGAAGCCCTACTGTACTTTGCCAGGTATGCGGCCAAATATGGGAGCGCGTTCGAGAATCACGTGCCTTTGTTGACCAGTCGTAAATCCTCTCTGATGACTTCAAGAGGTAATTCATGCTCCATGGTTACAAATGATGACGAAATAATGGTCGTTAGGCTCCAGTCAATGGTGCCTCCCCGCTGCGCCCCAAGAACCGCATGTGCAGAGAGCGCCATCTTCCGGACAAAAGTGGTAACGACGCGAGCTGCGCGTGAGCGCGCCTTGTCAGGGCCTCAATGTAATTTATCATTTATGTAACGCGCGGATAATGTAGGCCACAAAAGGCTCAGGTAACACATAATAAAGACTTGCCCGCTTTCATAGTTGGCACTTTTACGCACGCTGCGTAAAATGTGACTTATTTCATCATGATGTTATTTTTAAACGAAGGAAACATCTGAGACAAAGCACTGTTCATTCTGCATCAAAAAACCTTTATTTGTATTTACAATTTTCTAAACAAAATATTGCACACATGATTCAGTTGTGCATTGAAACACAAGTGAACAACAATAAATAACATTTAATGAACATTTTGTCATCTGTACAAATTGAAATATGGCACACGACAGGTCTGTCATAAAGAGCACAGATTAAACACTAAACACAGCCACAGCCACAGCAGGAGGTGCACAGTGAAGAGACAAAGGCTCTTCTGGTGCCACGGGACAAAATCATGAGGTAACAACATGGTCCAAAGCTACAAAAGAATTCAAATACAATATGTACATTTTGGCGCATTTGCATAGTCCTCAAATTAACGCACAAGCACAAATGTAAAAACTACCGTGCAGACACTGAAAGTCTATCACTACAAACACGAATTATCTACAAAGAAATACACGTAATTTCAGGAATGTTATTGTCCACTTTTTATTATGCTTTTTATTTTAACTCTTTGCCCTCGCTTTGTTCGCTCTCCTCTTCGGTCTTGGACGGATTCAGCAGCTTGTTCTCCTTTTTCCACTTCATTCTACGGTTTTGGAACCATATTTTGATCTGTCTCTCGGTCAGACACAGTGCGTGGGAGATCTCTATCCTGCGCCTCCTGGTCAGGTAGCGGTTGAAGTGAAATTCTTTCTCCAGCTCCAGGGTCTGGTAGCGGGTGTAGGTCTGGCGGCCCCTGCGTCCACTGTTCCCAAACGGGCCTGTGAAGATAGAACATGGTTAGAACATTTTATAGAAATAATGAATAAATAAGACAATCAGAGTTGATAAGATAAATAAATATAGGACATATTCAGAAACCATTTCATTCAGAAACAACATGGACACTTTTATCCCCTGTGGGTATTTCAACAACCTCTATTCCCACGTTTTAAATGTTGTCATCATTGTCTCATTGTCTTATTTTCTTGCATTCTTTGTTCCTAAAGATCTTCATATAAACATGATGCGCAGCAGTGACTGTACATCAGTTTAATGTGAGACATTAGCATAACAACACCACACTGTTCCTGCAGTCATTGGCACAAACAATACAAATCTATAAAGGTCACACTATTGTCTATTATTATTGCCATTAGAGTTTCAATTTAGTGGCTTTAATTATATCGTTGTGCAAACGCAGCCCATGTGACAGGGTGAAAGGGTCGATAGGCCCAGAGTGCGTGTGCGCGTGACCGTGTCTGAAATCTCTCTTTTGAGCGATTGGAAGATTTTTATGTTTTAATAAGCCAAAGCTGATATAAATGTTATCTAGAGCCTCTCTGGCACAGCCTGCATCTCCTTTTAGTCTTTTAACTTCACAAAAGTCTAATCAACGTCATAAACAAATAGACAAGAAAATACAGTTATTGAAATAATTGCCCCTCAGTTCTTGTCACTTAGTTTTGCCTCCAACAACATTTACGGTTGTTTTTGGTTTCTTTCGGGCCACAGACAGTTCAGTGGACGCGGTGTCGTTTGTTGACGTAGATCGCCCCGAGGCGCTCGAACGTCTGCTGTCTGTCTTTCACCTTCTCACTTCTCAACGCAAAGTTACGCTCTGAATTCCAAAGTAAACAGCAACACAAAGCAATATAGGAACAAGCAGCTCAACAACACAGTCTAACAAGTCTAATAACGATGAACAAAAGTCTTACCAGCGGAGCACGCGTTCATCCTCTGCATCCACGGATAGATCAGAGTCGAGGTCTTGTCGTCGAGGCTGCTGCTCATGTTGACAGCGCTCTGCTCCGGGCACTCCGCCACTTTCCGCTGCTGGTGTTGCTCCTGCGCCACAAACAGCGCCTGTTCGTCGCGACTCGAAAAGGCGCACTGACCGTCAGCGTCTTTGTAAAAAGTCCCCACCGGGTTGTAGTCGCAGCTCGCCCGGCCATACTGCTGGTAGTAGGACGCGGGGTAGACTTTCTCCTGCATGTTGGCCGCTCCATACGTGGCTGCATTGGAGTAGTGCCTTAACGGGTCGCTGTATCCCGAGGAATAGAGCGGTATCTGACCCAGGAGAGAGTCCTGTCCTCCCGCCAGAGACACGGGGAAAGTTGAGTTAACAAAATACGAACTCATTGGGTGGACAACGGGGTGTATATACTCCGAAGGGATATGATTTGTTGTCTTTTATAGTCCAAGTGCTTTTGCCATTACTTTATCGGAGATTTGGTATTTGCTGAGAGGGGGGGCTGTGAGGTGCCACTGAATACAGAGGGGAAGTGTACCATCTGATCAACCTCTGTCCAATCAGCGCCGCCTGTTCTTGCACTACTGAGCCCATGGGGGGCTCTTGTTGCGCGCTGGGGTCCCCGGTGAATCGAAACGAAGCGCTGGACCCTGTCAGTCTTTACGCACCCCAGTCACTTACATTAAACCGGACATGTTTAAAAGAGACCAAAGCATCTACATGAAAACAGCACAAACCTCAACATTCAAATGCAACTCTGTAATCAAACTTGTGCGTAATACAAAAAAATCAGCTTTACGCACAGAGAAAGTAGTCCCCATGCGTCAAATATGTGTCAAAGGAAAGTCTCTTAACAAAAAGTGACTAATGATATCCCAATGTGTTCTCTTCCTAAAGGTAAGGTCCCCTGCTGCTGCTGTGGCTCCTGCTGTAGAGGGCCACGGGGACATGAGACGCGTGCCATCATCATCCACCTTATTATAAGCATCACCATCACGGCCTTTACGCACCGATTGGACCCTAATGAAACACTGCTAACACGGCAAACTCGAGCGGTAAGGCGAGTGTGGAGCCATATAATCAACGATTCATTTAAATCTAATAAACCAAACAATGATTAAAATTAATATGAGGCTCAGTGAAGCTGCATTAAGTCGCCTTCATGCGTTTTGCAGCGCAGTGGCTCGCGCAGGTTACTGTCTAATGTTCTTTTCGCCTCAGGCATCTCCCCGTCATATTTTAATACTGTTAATAATATTCAATAGATGTGGGGTTTACTTGATGACTAGAATGACAGAAATGTAAGACAAATGCGTTTATCCTAGCAACATTTGGTAATCACGTGCTTTTGACGCAGCGTGACGCATTGTTATTGAATCATAAACAGCTTCTAATATTAGGCCTGTATTATATTATATTCAGCTTATACTACATTATAATATATTAGGCTTATATTTTGCCATATATTATACCGTTATGCTGTATTAGATTACTATTTCTATACTGAATAATAATTTATGCTTTTTAGCCTAATAAAGTTTGAAACGATGCCCTCTTCTTTAAACACAGTCATGATCATCTGATATTTTCCCGTTACGTTTTTAAAACAAACAATAATCAATCTCAAAGGCCTCAGACCACTGCAGTGTGATACAAGGAGCTGCGTTTTCCAAGCGCCTTCATATTTGGCCTTTATGCTCAACTACAACCATCAAAAATAGACAAAACAAATAAAACGTTATTGGGTGAAATCAGTTTTCTATGTTTTAAATATTTATACTGGGCCTATATGATCTGTTCCCTCACGCATGCAGGTGCAGAGGTCTTTTTATGAGCCCTTCAGAAATACAGCTGGGTTTGTTCGGCTTTCATGGATTGCATTTTATTGCCCGCATCTGTTTGTGAGAAGCTGATTATAGGGAGGGCACATTACCGCCATTGATTGTGTAACAGTGAATGAATGAAGATCCATTCAGTAAACGGCTTACTCACATGTGCTTACTAAGATGAAACCATACACCAGTCTTTCACATCTTTCCTCAAGATTATACTTATATTTGTGTCATATATTTAGTGCTTTATTTCCTCACAACCTTCGTGCGTAATGGCGCCATGGAAACCCGCGAACAAAATCTCCACAAAACAGTACAAAATGCTGCCCAGAGAAACATGGGTGATGTTTTTAATGGTGACTGAACAGAAATAATTTTGATACAAATTATAAGAATCAGAATATACAGAAAAGCCTGATCATTTGGGCGAAATCAGCCGCTTTGTGCCTCATTGTCCTTAAAGTCAAGCTCATGTGCCCAGAAACAGCATCTCCATTTTCCTCCAACAGGCCTCACTTTCCACTTATTCTATAACGTATTATTTATTATTGATTTCAAAATTTTTAAGCTTTAGGTGTATGTTTGGCGCCGCTGCAGCATCTCACGGGTTAAGCTCAAAGTTAAGCAACTGGTTGTGAATAGCAGTCAACGTACGGAAATAATAACATCCCGTGACACAATGGATTGCTAAAACTGATTTGGTGAGTGAGCTTGACCTGATATGAACGTTACTACAGTCACATGGCACTTTAGGAGCCTGAGCCTCATGCAGCAGCGCTTTGGCCTGGCGCCTGAGACACCTTACCTTTTGTTGATAATCCATCATGTGCACTGTGCCTGTCACTGCTCTCTCTCGTTTCCAGAGCTTGTTCCCAAATCTGCTACTTTGCAAGCTGCGTTAAGTGGTCCCCAAAAACATAATCCAGTCATCACAGAGAAGTACAGATCCCTCATTTTGGAAGAACATAGCCAGAAGTGGGTGCCCAATAAAACATGGCGGTGAGACGTCAGCGCTGTGGCTCCTTCTCTGGGAATTACGCACGAACATGATACCGAATTTTATCCATCAGATCAAGAACATCTACGTATAAAACACAGAGCTAAGTAAAAAGCATGTGTTTCTAGTGTTAAGTGAACGAGGAGTGCAAAACAGCAGCTGCAATATAACCTCATGGGAAATAAGTTCCCATTCCTGTCCACATGACCATGGACAGCCAATCCCGGAGCCGAGCGAGTCGTAAACTTCGCTGGCAAAGTTGTAAATTTTAAAAACAGCAGCCGTTTTGTGCTTTTAGAGGCGCGTTCTCAACGCCATCTTTATTTTGCCTCATTGTCTGTGATGCCTAAATGTGGGAAGGATTCAAATCAGAAGCAGTAAAATGTGGACAATACCGCTTGGATGAGCACCTGACTTCTGCCTCGGTCTGCAGGGGCTTCCAAAGGTCTGTACGGTCTCTCATTGTTTACTGCTTGATTCTCGACCAGGTTTAGGTCATTATGACCAACATTGTGAATTTATTTAATAACAAACATGAATGAATGGGTATTTTCTTGTACATTTCGACAGACTCAAGCAATTAGGCTGTACCATGTTGTTTTATCTAAAATAGGCTAGAAGAGGATAATTCTAGATCTCGATCTAGAATTAATAATTGAACGTCTTTTGTTTTATAATAATAGGCTATAATTATAAATACAGAGAGAATTTATATTGAAATTGAACCGTAAAATAGCTTCTCAGTGGCTGAAACCCTGAGGCGTCTGGGGGTCTGATAATCAGAGGTAAGTCTCCAACTTCAGTCATTTGGGTAATTCAACTACCTGAGAAAGGAGAAATAATCATATTATTTCAGAAATATTAGATTATGATTTTTCTTCAGTAACATTTTGGCTTCAGAGCTGCCATGTGCTAAGGGCGCAGTCATCCTCTTTCCAAAAGGATTTCCGACATTTATAGACTATGGAGCAATAAAACCATAAATTCCTCGAATGCAAAAGCATTCCCTCAGTTTCCCTCCTGACCTTTAGAAGTTTTGCCATTTCATTGGGACTGGTCTGGGCCTACAGCGAAATCAGGCTTTGCGCACGACGCAATCATGATTGTATTATTAAAATATAATTGTATTATTACTATTATTATTATTAAAACAAATAAGCCATAGTTACCTAATTTAGTTTCTTGTATTTTTTTTTAATCTAATCACATAATATCATTGTTTTTGCGTGCTTTTAACAGAAAACGTAAATCGTGCAGCTGCTGCTCAAGGCCTTTGCGCGTAATGAAAGATTTATGTCAAACCAAAGGCCTTCCCAGTCCTATTTTTAACTTTAAATTAAATCATATGTATTTATTATTTCAGTACACGATAAATATAACCACAATATTATCATTCGCGCTTGTCTTTTTGGGGTGTCACGTGGGTCACCTTCACTTCCTTTTATCTTCAGAAGAACAAAGAGACCGGACACTGTAAAACTTTATGGCCTCTTTAGACATTTCCAGCCCTGAGCAGGAAAGACGTTCAACACTTTTGTTTTCGTGAAGTGAAAGTGAAGCAGACACTAAGGCCTTCTCTGTCCCGTTAACAGCGAAAATAAATAAACATTTCTACAAAAAATATAAATGGACAATTAAAATTAATTTACTTCAATTAAAAACAATGTCAATGAACAGGCCGTTGTGATGAAGCAGCAAAGTCCATGCAGAAGAATCCTTATTGGTTTAAAGCTGCAGTACCTAATTTACTTATTTATACATTTTGTCAAAACATGTCTTTATCTTTTCACGTAAAAGGCTGAAACAAAAATTCATCCATGTGAAAATCACTGTAGTGAAAGAACCATCTTGAAAGCTAAGAACTATAGTTCCATGGATTTTATTACATCATTTTTAGTGTGATTTGAAAGTAGGTACTCCAGGTTTAAGTAGGCCTTCTCACATGAATGTTTTATCATCAAATATGAGGCTAAAAGCTGACATTCTGTGCTACGTTTACATTCCTCTGCTAATGACACAAGGCCTGTTCACTTCCTTTTTGGCACAGTTTAGTTTATAGATGTAAACAAATGTCCTTCCATCGCACATGTTGATAGAATTGTGTAAAATCTCACTTATTTCTGGAGTTGTTGACTTTCACTGAGGCCAGACGTGAGTCCAGATACATGTGTTTGTGCGTTCACAGCTTTAATCCCTGTAATCATCTGTTTCTCTTCTCATGTGTCTGGTTGTAGCCCTCTTCTGTGGACGGCTGCTCGCTGTGAGGGCTGCGTCAGGGTTTGAGAGAAGCCAGGCCTGCGGAGCATGGGGGCCCGGGAGGAGATGACTAACAGGCTCTGCAGGGCCTCAGTGTCCTGGCTCATGTAAGGACACCGACTCCGGGTTTTGGGTACGGGGTTTATGAGCGGGATACTGGCCCGAGCACGACTGAACCTGCTGCTGGTAATGTCCTGACGACACACAGAGGAGCTGCCCACTGGAACACACACACACACATAGAAGATCACAGTTATAGCACTATATAAAACATTTATTAAAAACTGTTATCAACAGGACATACCAGTTCCTTAAATTTGTTTTTGTAATTAATTCTATTTAAATCTGTATCTGATAATTGTATATTTTATTACAATTCAAAAACAATACGATTGTGTTTATTAATGAACATTTAGTTTCACAGTTATTAAATATATTAATTATTCATTGACATTATTAAGATATAATACAGGTTCTAAGCCTCACTAGAGATTGAAGTGCAGCAAATGATCCTAATCAGATGTGTGTTAAAATAAACAGAAATGATGGTCTCTGCACAGAGTGACTCACTGGGGCAGAGGAGCCTCTGGGGATGGGGGGTCTCGGGCCCCGCTCTGGTCTCAGACTCAAAACTCACTGCATTCAGGGTCCTCTTTTCTACAGTGGACAGCAGTAACCGCGGCTGCGACATGTGGGACTGAAAGAACTGTCATAAACATAGAAACTTTTAATCCTCTCGACATCACAGAGAAGATCACCCCTGTCCTGACGACACCTGTGTTTTTATGTCCTTTCAGTTGTCAATTTTTATCATATTTTATTATAATATATTATTAAAAGTATTTAAAATAGTATCATGAATTATTTTCCAAAATTGCAAACATCTATGATGAATGTTGTTGTACCTGGTGTGAGCTGAAGGAAGTTGGTTGTTGTCTTTTGTGGGAAAAATGTAACAAAGTCTCCATCTGGAAGAGAAACAAAAACATTTCTATCACGAACCAGATTTCAACTGTGTAAGAAACTTACACAGTTGAACACAGCTGTGTTCCAACTACAGAAAGTTTAATACATATATAAACTATAAAATATAGTTTATATATAAATATTATGTCCCTGTTCACTGATGCCAATATTGGTTGTGGGAGATTCCAGAAAATAAATCTGATGCAAGATGTGGCAAAAGATCTCCAAGAATAGATTTCCAAAAGACTCTGCACAGATGTATGTAAGTCTATGCACAATACAACCACATTTGAACAGTAATAATAGTGTCAAAGCATTAGAGTCATGTGTTTGTTTGCGTAGTTTCACTTTAATCACCATTTTTGTGCAAACATTTTGTGGATTAAAGATTTCAGAATTGTTCTTGAAATCCTCTCACTGCTCTCACTTTTAAAACCTCTCTTTGAGCCGATAATAACTACAACTGATCGTGTGTAATAAAAATTCTGTTTTCAGAAAGTAAACACTAAAGCGCACTAGTGATAGTATTATTAAACACAGACGGTAAAACTTCTCCGTCCAAAACCTCGTCTCGTTCTCGTGGACCCAAACTCCTTCGTTCGGCCTCACCTTGGGCTGCTGTGGGGGGGCTGGTCGGGCCTGGGGGGTGGTCTCTGTGTGCTGCTTCTGGAGCATGTGTTGGATTTGGTCGATCACCCCGAGCTCCTGGAGCAGCCTCTTCCTCTCCAGGAGCCCCCGGACCCGCTCCTCCTCCTCCTCCTCTTCTCCCCCCTCTCCCTTCTCACCCACCGGGCCCATCAGTTCACAAAGTCCTGGGTTTTCCACAAGCTGGAGAAAAACACACGGGCACAATGAAAAGCACAAAGGTCCAAGTCCAGTTCTTCCTGCAGGATTTAGGGACCAGGATTTATATTGTATTTATTCATTTTTTGACACAGATAATGCAGTATAAACGTAATTAATTATCTCAAATGTTTTGTTTTATATTCTAATTTTGTTGTTGTTGAAACTGATATTTTAGTTTGAAGATAAAAAGAATGACATTTTACTTTTCACCCAATTATAATTAAAAAGTTGCATATACTTTTAAATTCACTGATAATCATTAAATAAGCGCTCCATGTCAAAGGTGAACCTATAGAAGAATAAACACACATTTTCTCACACATGAATTTTTTACAGTCTACATTTCACTAACATCGTCACATCCACAATCATTTATCTACAATGTCTGACTGTTAAGACAAGAATCAAAATGTGTTTTAGAAAAGGTGATAAAGCATCCCATGCCCAAAAGTAGGTACATTAATAAGAGAAAGAAGAAAGTGCCAGAATCAACAGAAAATATAGAATAAATACAATACTATAGAATAGACTATTGATAATTATTGTCTATTTTACTTTAAAGTGGTTAAACATCACTATAGACTGCTTTTAATAATTCAGTAAAGTTGAATACATTTTCTTTTATCATGGACCACTGTTAAATTATTGTGAGTTTTAAAAAACATCAGCAGTTAATTCTCTTTGGTTAAATTCCCTGTTTTTGCCAGTGAACCTTAATGACGTCATTGTTTTCTGGCCAATAATCCGTGTCTTCACTACTGCGGCAGGTCGTGCGCCCTCTAGCGGACACGGGCAGCAGAACTCACGGGCTCAGGGTCTGCTGCGGTCTGGACCATGCTTTGACGCCTCCTGGGCCGGACCATCTCCCCTGCAGTCTCCCCCTGTAAGTCCTTCCTCCGACCCGCCTTCAGATCCCTCTCCTGCTCCTGCTTCAGACGGAGCTCCTGCAACTGCTGCCTGTGATAGTAATAATATGTTGAAAAATGAGATCATAAATAAAAAGGCAAAAATGCAAAAAAAATGACTGCATTTTACATTGGAATTATGTGATATTATTATTGTTAGTATTTTTACTTGCATCTGCTTTCTGCATATTTGATAATTGGTAATATGTTGAATTGCTGAATTATATCATTTTTAAAGACTTCTTATTCCTCGATTTTGAAGTGAAAATGATTGTTTCAGAAAATACCAGTAACAGTATTATTAAAACACATTCATCCCAACGCAGACTGTTCCAATATTCAATCAGTTCCCCCAATTTAGATATTTACAAAGAACAAACGTTAATGAAGTTACGTAAAAATGACGTTCTTAAATTGTAAGTTAGTATCACTAATGAGTTGTTTATCATTAAATTCTACAACTCAATAGCTGAATTATAACTGATAGTAAAGCCTTTCATTTTGAAGGCTGAATATTGTTATCAGGATAAAAAAGCCACTTATTTCTAGCTGCAATCTTTATAATCTTCTATCAAAACCCAAATCTGTGCCGTTGCATTCTCTCACAGTTTTGAATGAGGAGTAGTGCAACCATGGATCTATAATAATATCTGGTATAACAGTGTGTTTTGAGACAGCTGTTGGTTCGGTGGGTACAGCGTGATACAGCGTTGTGCCTCGTGCGTCGTGCTGGTACCTGGCACACTCCTCTCTGGCCTTGGACGCGGCGGTTTCCTGAAAGAGCGAGCTGCTGTGTTTGAAGTACTTGTCATATTTCTCCGCTCCTTCTCGGGGGTAGATCCTCTTGAAACCTCCCATGTGTTTGGCCTCGTACCTCTCCATCTGCTCCACGGAGGCGGCTTGGCACTGACGCAGCTCCTCTGACCTGGGACAGAAGACATCACTAATCTCCAGACAATCAGCACGTCTTTTGAGTGCCCGACCTTGTATGAAAAAGCCTCGGTTTATGCAGGTACCTGGCCTCTCTGGAGCGGTTCTGCTGTAGCCTGTCCTTCACCCGCCGTCTCTCCTCCTTTGTGATCTTACGCCGGTCACACGCGCCCAGGTTGATGAGGTCCAGGGTGTCATAAAGCAAGGCATCCTTCACTTCGCGGTCCAGCTGTGAGTCTGTGGTGAAGCTGGGGGAGTGATTTACCTGCACACAAACACAGGTTGAGTAGATGTTGAGCTATCACATGGCAAAAAATAAAGGCCAATACCTCAAAACATCACAAAAGACTTTCCACATAAATTACATTGACATTGAGTTCCATATAAATCTCACGTCATGAAAATATAGATGGATATACAGATAACTAACTTTTTGTCCTTGCAGTGATTCGTAGCCTTTGTGTTGGTTAAAATGTGGCTGAGTGGTTAGCACTTTTCTTCAAGAAGGTCCAGAGTTTGAATCGCGATTGGAACAGGACCTTTCTGAGTGGAGTTTGCATGTTTTCTATGATAAATTATACCTCAAACTTAATATTAACTAATCCTAAAATACTCACCACAAAAGATTATGTATTATTAGTTTTATTTTGTAGTTTTAATCAGCCATCAAAGAATAAACATTAGTTTGAACGACGTATCTTTGCCTGTCTTTGTTAACAAAACCACACTCAGTAATTATGAGATGAGATTTTACGAGTTGCAATATTCAATTTCACCACCAGAGGATGCTATAACCCTAACAAAACATCCGTGGGAACAAATACTACTACAGAAAATGTTTAATAATAATTGATTATGATCTAATTATAACTTTTAGCTTTTTGGTCACACAAAGCTTTGCAATTTACAATAATAGGATGAGGGAGTATAGGGGCCGTAAGAAAATAAACATTTCAATAATTCTGCTTATATAATATGAGTAACATCCCGGACTTGTCGGCGTACCATGCAAAAATGTCAGTACCACCCTTTTGCTTTCCTTTTCATTGTTGTAGAATGAGCTCACCTCCAGAAGCCAGGGCCTGAGCCTGTGATCGAGCAGGACGTCAAAGCCCAAGATCTCGAAGCAGGCGCTGCCGTTGGTGTGGTTGGGGAAGCAGGTGTGGTAGTTGTGCTTGAGGATCGGATGAGCTGAGATCAGGACTTTGATTATTACGTCTTCAATGTCGTTCCACATTTTCTCTGTGTTACAGTTCATGGCCAGGAGATGCCTGTTAAAGGTGGATAACTTTCTACAAAACAAGAAAAGGACCTCATCATTTCGCACTGGTGACTAGATATGAACCATGAACCACAATGTAAAATGTTTACCTTTTACTGCCCGTGTCCTCATCCCGTACAAAGTTCTCACTGTGTTTGTTGATGGAGTAGTTTGTTAGATGCATACACACATCTTCCTGCCAAAAGAAATTGAGATTTAAAACAGTCATACATCTTCATCAACAGCAATATGTCTTGTCTATCTTTATATATAGACACTATTCAATCCACCTGTTTGTTGAGTAAAGACAATGTCAGTCCATGCCTATTTATAACCTTTTTCTAATCTAAATGAGACTCAGATATTTATTATATATGAACCATGTAACAGCCTTCTAACATCATCTTACTCTTATTGAGTGCTTGGAATAGATTACGCAGATTGCTTTTGTCATACAGAAAAAATATCCATTGGGAGAGGCAACTATTCATCTCTGTATTAATGGAAAATACTGCCAACATGAAATGATAACACTGATATAGCAGATAGATGACTTACCACGTTATTAGAAGTCGGCTCGTTGTATTTGGTCGTACAGAATCGAGCCAGACCCTCTTGAAACATGAATATACTGAAAGGGTCACATGACGTCACCAGAACATATATTCGCAGGTCAAATTTATAGCCGTCGATTATGAGAGGCTGTGCTTACTCTGGAAATATAAACTTGGCAGATCATGTGTTCCCCTGACTGTATTTCTTTAGTTGCTTTGGTGAGGAAGATGCCTTTGCCTTGGCACCCAGTGTCCGGCTTACAAATGTATGTCTTGTTCTTTTTGGCCCTGGTGAAAGCTTGGAAGTCACTGAAACTGCAGAGAGAAAAGTGGTCAGAGATATAGACAAAAACAAAAATAAGACTTTTTAAAGAGTGAAAGGTACAAACTGACTCGGCAGGAAGGCACCACGTTCTGGGAAAGATATTGTAGTCTTTGGGAAACAGTTTCAGCATTCGGTTCAGGTTTCTTGCTAAAAGGTCTTTGCGGCAGATTTCGCTCATTCCGGGGAAATGGTTGATTTTCTTCAAAAAGAAACAAGAATATTAATTCATATTCAGGTTTTTTTCATATATTTGTCTTTATTTGCATTATTTCAAGGCCCTCGTGACAGATTAAAATTATAATAATAATAAAAAAGATTCCCCAACTACAGCCAAAAGACATACCACCACCAGACATAGACAGATAAGACAGAGAGAAGACACACACACACGCACGCACACACGCATACACAGACAGACAAAACACAGACGAGTCACAGAGAGAAGACACACACACACACGCACGCACACACGCATACACAGACAGACAAAACACAGACAAGTCACAGAGAGAAGACACACACACACGCACGCACACACGCATACACAGACAGACAAAACACAGACAAGTCACAGAGAGAAGACACACACACAGAAAAGACACAGATAGACAAGACACAGACAGACAGAGAGAAGACACACACACAGAGAAAAGACACAGACAGACAGAGAGAAGACACACACACAGAGAAAAGACACAAACAGATAGAGAGAAGACACACACAGACGAGACACAGACAAGACACAGACTGACAAAGCACATTCAGGGTGCAGTGTCAGCATTGTCAAAAACTACATCATGAAATAGTGGTCCCATCGTTTGAATTCACTTGATACCTGATAACGTTTCATATCCTTCACTCTATCCAAAGACACAGAGCAGTCGGTCCAAAACAGAGTCCAGTCCTCGCCCTCTGCTGCCTCTCTAAGGCCGTACTTTCGAGCTGCACGCCGAACTGACAACAAATGAGACAGAAATACACCATTAGATATGTTGTTATTACTGAGTGACATTATAATCGCCATAGAGAAGTTAATATGTCATTATTTTGGCCTGAAAAAATGATTCAGATTCAGATTCATTTATTTCGCCATTTGCAGTAACACTACATTGGAATACATTTGTAAAAGTTCCCAGTGTGCACAGGACAAGTACAGACACAAAACAACATTAAAAGACAAAAATAAAACAAATTTTAAAAACAGTAAACAAATGTCACCGTGAAGTTGACCAACTTAAAACAGATCTATACGAGTGCAAAAACATTAAAGTGCTCTATTCAAACTGTTAACAGCTCGTGGAAAAAAACTATTAGCATAACGAGATGTCCTGCATCTCAGAGAACAGTATCTTCTGCCAGAGGGAAGAAGCTGGAACAAGGCTTTTCCTGGGTGGCCAGAAGAGTCATTGATAATTCTCAGGGCACTGTTAAAAAGTCTGGATTGATAAAGAGCCTCCAGGACAGGAAGTTCACAGCCTACAGTCCTCTTAGCAGAGCGGAGCACCTTGTTTAGAGCTCTCTTTTCTTTATCTGTGATGTTACCGAACCACACAGACACAGAACCAACAAGTAAACTCTCAATGGTGCAGCGATAAAAGTTCAGCAGAATCTTAGAGTTAAATTCTCTAAGTTTCCGCAGGAAGTAGAGACGCTGACGAGCTTTCTTTACGACCCGGTCAGTGTTTTGAACCCATTTCAGGTCATTAGACAGAGTTAGAATGTCTAGATATAGATAGAATAAATGGCAATTAAAAAAACGTTATCTCCCAAGTGGAGCATTCATGACTTGACATTACCATTCTAGCAAGTATTATCATCAAAGTGAAATTATAATTGATGTAACATACCGCTCTCATATTTGCAGTTTGTGAGGTTAATCCACAGTCATCTGGAAGACAAGAGCAACAGAAGGACAGACATGTGCTTTGCTGCAAAACCTTGCACGTCTTACAGGTTTTTCCACACAACATTCACTATTCAAGTAATAGATTGATTTGATTTGATTCAAAAATAGGTTACGTAGACATAAAGTAGTAAAATACCTCTTCCTGTTCTTCTTCCTCTTCTTGGTGACCAGCAGAGAGGGGACAGTGCATGTTTCAGTTTGACTGTTGTTCACTGAGGCCTCTCCCTGCTCTTCATATTTGCAGACATCTTCTTCATTGTCTTTGTTGAGATTGTCCACAGGTAGACCCATCTTTGGTCGCCACGAGGGAAGGAAACAACAAATCAATGCTATTTCAAAGGATTTAGTGGAAGTGATAAACTGAGATGACGAGAAACAGGGATGTGGAGGTACTTAGCGGTAAAGTTATAGTAATAGTTTATTAACAGCTCTATGACCTGACGTGCTCTAAAAGGCTCTGGCAGCATTTTCGATTACCAAGAAAAACACATTACAAAATAGCGTACAGTATGGATCTATTTTTGTGGTAAGTTTTTGTAAATGTGTATTACTATTTGCACCAATAGTTCCAAGATTCCTTTGACTTTTAAGTGACCAAAAGGTAACTTAGAAAGCTTGTTGGTGATAAGGACATTGGCATTTGAGCTTGTATTGTTGTCCACTGCGGCACGGTGGCTGAGTGGATAGCACTCTCGCCTCTCAGCAAGAAGGTCCTGAGTTCGAATCCCGGTTGGACCAGGGCCTTTCTGAGTGGAGTTTGCATGTTCTCCCCGAGTCTGCGTAGGTTTCCTCCGTGTGCTCCGGTTTCCCCTACCACAAAAAATATGTACAATAGGTCTGGCATGTGCCTCCTGTACTGGCACCCCCACTCCCAAAAAATCACAATTGTAAACTGCTTTGAGACTCCTATGTTAAATTCATTTCTACACAATGAGTGTTCACGCAGAGGACTTGGATTCATCGAAAACTTCAATCTGTTCTGGAATAGGCTCGAGCTCTTTGAAGGGAAAGGCCCACATCTGAACAAATACGGAGTAAAAGTTTTGATGGATAACTTTGCATCTGCCTTAAGACCTCAGCGTGCTGAGCGTGCGCAGCGCGTTCAGCCGTTGAAAGAGAGGAGGATACAAAAGGCGAGACCCTCTCCACGGAACCCAGAGGTCTCGGCACCTCCACCGCCTCAAAAGAACTCAACACGTCCACCAGCATCATCATCAGCAAAGGATCCAGCACCAGCAGCAGCAGTGGCTGCCACAGCGTCATCAGCACCACCAGCACCAGCTGTGGCTGCTGCATCATCTTCAGCAGCACCTTCCCCACCTACAGCTCCCGTGAAGCCCCCCCCATTGCTCCAGGCTACAGTCAGGCCTGCACTGGGGGCCTCTCAACCACCTCCGTCTCCACCAAAGACTCCCTCATCACCTTCCATGGACCCGGTTTGGGTCCCCCCCGCCACATCCACTCCATCTAAGGAACATGAGGACGACCTTTCCCTGTGTTTTCCATCACTATTGGATTTACCGGAACACTCTGCAGGCATGATAAGATCGGCGATGAAGAATATTCCTCTCACACCCACTGTAGCCAGATCAAGGGTCCTATCTAACATTCACAACTTCTCCCCATACGTACCTCCAAAGCCGCCTAGGGCGTCCAACTCAAATTCTCCCACAAAATCCACCCGTCCCTCAAATTCTAACACGAATTCACCCGCAAAATCCACCGCTCCCTCCCCTAACCCCAAAACCATTCCAGCCCCACCCCCACCCCCCCCCTCGTTTTCCATCACCAAGAACCCCTCCACCTCCACTCCCCCCTCGTCCATCTCCCAACTCCTGCCCCTCCCCTAACACCCATCCACCTCCAACCCCCCCTCGTCCAACACCCAAGAACCACCCACCTCTCCATCCTCCTCCCTCCTCTCCCTAGGATGCACAGGGTCTCTGCTTCGCAGCCACTGGCAGTCTAGTTAGAGGAGAGACCCGGCTGGGGCCCTGTCATGAAGCCACCTGTGCCATTCCCTTAGTGATAACACAAAGAATGCATTACAGAAAGACATCTGGAGTTAATCAGTCTAATCTGGAAAATCTAATTCTTGTTCCGTGTAAGAATCAGCCGACCACAACCGCTGATACTGACACTTTGAAACTTGCTATGCTAAATATCAGATCTCTTTCTAACAAGTCTTTTTTAATCAATAATTTTATTTGTTCTTATAATCTTGATCTTATGTTCATGGCTGAAACATGGCTTGACCAAAATACAGAAAATGCAGTTTTAATAGAAGCATCACCACCAAATTTCAAATTTGAATCTGAAATACGGGAAAACAAAAAAGGAGGAGGCTTAGCTGCCATTTTTAGAGACCATTTTGTCTCCCATAGAATGTCTCTTGGGAAGTTTCCGTCTTTTGAATATGTGTCTTTTAAAATACAACAAAAACAATCTCCTCCAATACTCTTCATTGTCCTATACAAGCCACCGCAGTCATGTCACAGTTTTATTGATAATTTTACCGAGTTGCTTTCAGTTGTATGCACAGATTTTGATAGTTTAGTTATTACAGGTGATTTTAATATTCATGTGGATAATGTTGATGACAGAAATGCAAAAGAGCTGAGTTCTTTACTTGATACCTTTGGTCTCACTCAGCACGTGAGTGGCCCCACCCACAGCAGAGGGCACACTCTAGACCTGTTAGTTACTAAGGGGGTGAATATTTCAAATATAAGCGTGGTCGATGTTGCTCTTTCGGATCATTTCTGTGTATTTTTTGACATGTGTTTCACTAACAAACCACCAGTGGACTCTGCAACTGTACGAAGAAGACACATAAATGAAAATACGAGTGAACTATTTATGGGAATGATAAACTTTGAAAATGCATCGTATTCTACTGTAGATGAACTGTTTAACTCTGTCACCTCTAGTGTTTTGAATGTTCTGGATACCGTTGCCCCTGTGAAGGTTAAAATAGTGAAAAATAAGCAGAAGGCGCCGTGGGCTAAAGCAGACTCGGTCAGAGCACTGAAGAGAAAGTGCCGGAGGGTCGAGCGGAAGTGGCGCAAGTCCAACCTCCAGGTTGATTACAAGATATTAAAGGATAAGTTGTGCGAGTTTAACCGGGTGCTACGTAGTACGAGAGAAAGGTATTTTTCTGAAATGATTGAAGGCTGCAGTAACAATCTGCGTGTTCTGTTTTCAACAGTTAATAGATTAACAAACCCCCCTGTTCAGATGCCATTAGAGCTAACTTCCAAACGTAAATGCAATGAGTTTGCACACTTTTTCAATGACAAGGTTCAAGGCATCAAAAACGCCATTGTCTCCAATCCACAGATAACCATCCAACAGCCTGAAAGGCTCTCTGAGCTAACTTACTTTGCACCTGTAGATGATAAAAATGTCCAAGAAATAATCTCCAGTTTGAGCTCCTCCACATGCAGCCTGGATGTACTACCCACTAGATTTCTGAAGTCTGTTCTGAGCAGTCTGTTACCTTCACTCACACAGATAGTAAACATGTCCCTTAATTCTGGAATATTCCCAAAGGCCCTGAAAACGCAGTCATCAGGCCCCTGCTAAAAAAGAGCAGTCTGGATGCTACGGTACTTAACAACTATCGTCCCATCTCAAATCTGCCATTTATGGGGAAAGTCCTTGAAAAAGTTGTCTACCTACAGCTTACTAGATTTCTTATAATCAACAACTCATTTGATATGTTTCAGTCCGGCTTTAGACCCCACCACAGCACTGAGACTGCTCTTGTCAAGGTTACAAACGATATCCGGCTGAACACTGACGCAGGCAAAGTCTCAATCTTAATCTTGTTAGATCTAAGTGCTGCCTTTGACACCGTCGACCATGAGATCCTCTTACAGAGACTAGAGGACTGGGTTGGCGTCGCTGGCACCGCCCTAAGTTGGTTTAGGTCTTACCTTGAAGACAGGAAGTACTTTGTGGAGATTGGAAACTGTGTCTCAGATCATATGGCCCTGACCTGTGGAGTACCACAGGGGTCGATCCTGGGACCTCTTCTGTTCAATCTCTACATGCTGCCGTTAGGTCAGTTAATACGCAGAAACAAAGTGTCCTATCATAACTATGCAGACGACACTCAGATCTATGTCTCACTGACTGCAGGAGAACATGGACCAGTGGACTCACTCCTTCACTGTATCCAACAGATCAGTGAGTGGATGCAAAACAACTTCCTTCAGCTAAACGCAGACAAAACTGAAATGATTGTCTTTGGTCCCCAGAAACAAAGAGAGAGCGTCATCTGTCACCTACAGTCTCTCTCCCTAAAACCTTCAAACAAGGTCAGAAATCTAGGGGTAATACTGGACTCAGACTTAAATTTTAATAGCCACATCAAATCAGTAACATCAGCAGCTTTTTACCATCTAAAAAACATTGCCAGGATCAAAAACATAGTGTCTAAAGCAGACTTGGAGATTCTTATCCATGCATTTGTCTCCAGTAGGTTAGACTACTGCAATGGCCTGCTCACAGGTCTGTCCAAACAGGCTGTCCTGTGGCTCAGAGAATAGACTTTAAAACAGCTCTGCTTGTGTACAAGTCTCTCCATGGCCTCGCACCAAACTATATTAGTGACATGTTAGTCCCATATGAACCAGCCCGGACTCTGAGGAGCACAGGGACTGGACTCCTGTTAGTGCCCAGAGTCAGAACTAAACATGGGGAGGCTGCTTTTCAGATTCATGCAGCTAAAATCTGGAACAGTCTTCCTGAAGATGTGAGACAGGCCTCCTCTCTGACAATGTTTAAAACCAGGTTAAAGACGGTTCTGTTTAGCTGTGCATACAACTGAGGGATTTTATATTTTTATCTTTTTTTTTAATGTACTGTGATTATTTATGATTTTAATGCTTTCTTGTTTTGTTCAGCACTTTGAATTGCCTTGTGTATGAATTGTGCTATACAAATAAACTTGCCTTGCCTATGTGCAGTGAAAAAGGCGGTATATAAATAAAGATTACTACTACTACTACTACTACAATCATGAAAATCTATGCGATCACTCTGAATTTGCAACTGAATTTGTATCATGATTTGCCGTATATTTGTTTCACATTCACATGAAAAGACAGCATATTGAATTTATGAATGGATGGAGGGATTCTTGTACCTCCACTTACATATATAGGAATAAAGCAAGAGCAACATAACTGCTATCACATGCTGCTCATGTTATCTTAAGTAAAAACTGGTTCAATAAGGTTGTCCTTTCTTCATATGAATAATGCTTCACCTTCCGGACATAAATC